GAAGATGCAGACCTAAGGATGCTTTTCTATGCTCTTGGGGAAGACAAGATGTCCACAGAACTACTCGATTGTCCTGCTCTTTCAGTTGAGATCTTGGAGATCAAGCTAGAGTGCGTGCAGTTATTAGGAGAAGTTGTCTCCGTGCGTTTCTGTCTCCCAGATTTTGTCACTTCTTGCTTTAGAAGGAACCCAGTGGCATTTAAAATTTTTGTCAAGAAATACATTAAAATATGACTTCATTACTTAAGATATTGAGAACCAAAATAGTACAGATACAGAGTACTTCCATGCCCACCCTCTCCTTGGTTGAAGTTGACGTGCAGCCAGGAGTGGATTTCTTTTTACCCTCACTGCCCTCCAAGGCTGTCTGTCCCTTTTTGTATAATAACCTTTTATTGATTTTATTTTTATCTAATAACTTGTGTTAGGAAGAGGCCTGCTTTAAATGACCACGTATGGAATAGGAGAAGCACAGTCTATGTTCCTCTTCTTATTTTCTGTTAAGCATGTTCTATTTTACTTGGCAAATTTTTAAAAACTCTATCTTCCTATCCCAGTTTTCAGTGTCATACCCTTGCTGGCTTTGTGGCTCATTCATATGTTTGGAGTGAGTAACCTTTTCTTATGAAAAATAATGCTTGTGTTTGCCCCTGTGGAGAGAGCAGGAGCTGGTGCCCCCGTCTTATCGAATAACTCACTCTGGAGGGTCCTTATATTTTATAAGAGTTTTTCTTTATTTTCTGTACTTTATACATAATTTAACTCTTCCACAAGGCATTAACATAACCTAGAGAAGCAAATTAAAAAAATGGTTCTGTAAACACTTGAAAAGCTAAGCCATAACAACTTAAAAAAGAGATTTGTATGTTTTGTGTGTGTGTGTGTGTGTGTGTGTGTGTGTGTGTGTGTGTGTGCCAGTGAATGCCACGGAGGGCATCAGATCCTTGGAGCTGCAATTACAGGGAGCTAAGCTGCCTGATGTGGGTGCTGGGGATTGAACCTGGGTCTTCTAGAAGAGCAGCAAGACTCTCGATGACTGAGCCGGCTCTCTGGCCCCTCGGCTGTTACTTGAAGATGAAGGTCGCGGTACAGTCACCGTTTTTGTGGCTCATTTCCTTAGTGGCAGCAGTGGAGGGACTGGTAGGAGGAGGCTGTCTCCACGACTTCACATTTTATACTTCGTTGTATTTGATTGTGACCCCTGTACACTCAAATGTGTGTTTCTCATTGCCTTGTCATTTTCAACGTGAACCAAAGCTAACAAAAAGCTGTTGGCTAAAAAGCATTAGTACTTTGCCACACTGTAAAGGAGATTCAGCTGCCTCTGAGGAGAAAGGGAAAAAACAGAAGGCTGCCTTGGGACCAGCCTGCCAGAGGGAGCCTGAAACATAAGATGGAAATTTACGTTTAATCCTTGAGCACAGGAAAACTCAGTGGTTAACAACTAAACTTTGGTATTAATTGGCATAAAATCCATAACCTGGCTTGCAAAGCTCCAGAATCACAGTATGTATTCCCAGGGTCTCCTGTAGTCAATGTTTCTTGTGCCTAGTGGGGTCTCAGGAGTCCAGATAGTCTTGTCTCCTGGAAGACCTAGGTTCAGTTCCCAGCACCCACATCAGGCAGCTGATAGCTCCTTGTAACTGTAGCTCCAAGGGCCTTGCCCTCCATATATTGACTGATTTTTTTTTTTAATTTTTTATTTTATGTGCCTGAGTGTTTTGCCTGTGTGTTTATCTTTGCACCACCTATGTGCCTGGTGTTCATGGAGGCCAGAAGAGAGCATCTGATCCCGGACTGGAGTTACAAACCATTGTGAGCTGCTTAGGGGTGCTGGGAACCAAACCCAGGTCTTCTGGAGCCAGTACTCTTGACCACTGAGCCAGCTCTCCAGTCCTGACAACAGACTTCCTAAATAAAACAGGAAGTGATGAGAGCCGCTGTCTGCTAAGTGCTGAATTGCAGTGTTGTTCCCTGGTTCAGTCACAGTCCCCTTGACTGAAAGAGAACCCCCCACTCCTGCTGACCTAAGCAGAACAAAAGAATTTACTGGAAAAGTGTTGTACAGTGCATGGAACTGATGAGAAGGATGGAAAAACAGACTTCCGAACCAGAAGGAATTAAAGGTGGCTCAGAACTTGGGCTTGCAACCAGATAGGAACGACCTGGTTAGGAAGCCAGCTGTACTGCATGACTGAGGGGCCTTGAGGCTGAGCTTGCCCTGTGGGAGCATCTTAGGGATGGTCTGTCTGTCTCAGCAGCTCTCTGTTTCTAGCTCTCAGAGAGGTCAAACTTACTTCTTGTAGTAGGTGTTATTTTCGATTCTTATGGTTTTGTATCATGTGCATACGTATAACTGTCATTACCACATACTTCTGACACTAAATATAAGGGTTTTTCTCTCATAATCAGTTCTCTAAGCACTGTCTACTGTCCACAATTTGGCATCAATTTGGCATGAAGTTCTAGAGTTAGTGTCAAACTCCTAAGTTTAAAGGCTGAATTTCACTTAACTGACCTCAATTTGGATGCCAGTAGCAGGATTGGGTCTTAGGCTACTTCTGCTTATAGGCTCCAGATAAAGCTTCACAGGACCTCCCTAGGTTTGCTAATTCACTAGAAGGACTCAGGTCCCAGGAAAGCTGTTTCCTTGATATATAGTGGACATAGCCCAGGAATAGCCAGTAGATGACACACATGTGGTAGAGTATGGAGGGGTTCAGAACCACAGCCTTGTCCGGTGTGCTGACTTCTCTGTACCCTGTGTGTCCGCTGCCTGACCCACAGATGCCTTATTGTGTGCTCATGACTGATGAAATTATGGGATACTGGTGATTGATTCTGTTTCTCTTCCCCCTCCCCCCTCAGAGTTTTGGAGAGTGTGGTGGCTGTTCAGGCGTCCCCTTGAACTCATGGAGGCTCCACCATAATTTGCTCTATTAGCATGGGGTATTTAGGAAGGGGCACTTTAGCAGTGACAAAAACACTCCCTTCTATCACTCAGGAAATTCCAAGGACAAAGACTGTTTTGCTGTATATCTGTTATTTGCATCCCGTCTAGACAAGTTTGGTGTTTAATTGCCTAGAAGTCACTGTATATTTTCAGAGTTGTTGATTGGTAAGCTGATGGCATATTAGGAAAGTGGCCTTGATGGAACCAGACTGCCTGAGTCCCAGTTTCCACACTCACCAGCTGTATGATGTTGGAGCAGCTAGCTCTTACCTCAGAAATGCTGGGAACATTAAGTCAATACTAGAAGTCATTACAGGGCACAGTTTGTAATAAACACTTGAGTGCAAGGTACATGTTAATTAACGTAATCATTATTAGTGTCATTGTCAAACCTCAGGTTAGGGCCCCAAGGTGATCACGGGGTAGGCTCTAGGATGTGAACACAAGTTTCCTGCGTTCTTGATTAGCTGATAACAACTGATCAAACGCAGTATTGATTTAGAAACATGAAATGCTATAAATTTTCTAGCAGAATGTAAAACTGTGAGCTCGTGTGAACTCCTTTGTGGTAGCTGGGCTAATACAGAATTACACCGAGAAGAACAATTGAAAATAGTGTTTAAGGAGTAAAACTTAAAGGTACATGAAGTAGTTTGACAAGTTGTTTTCTTTGTAGGCAGGTGGGAACAGCGGTGGTATTTTTTGTTTTGGTTTTTCTCTTAACCACAAAGCCTGTAAAATACTTCACTGGCTTACTTAGGCTTGCTTAATTAGCCATTATCAGATGACTGTATAGATATTTCTTTTTTAAATATGGTTTTTTTTTTTTAAAAAAGAGTGTGTTTTTTGCAGGACAAGGCTGCAACCTGAGTGTTTTGTTCAGCCAACAGCACAGTGGCTGAAATGGGATGGGCTCGTGGCAGGTCCTTGCAGGACACGTAATCCAAACAGTCAGATTTTCTACTCTGGAAACTTGTTTTGAAGAGAGCAGCTCTCACTGGGTTCTCACTCTCCAGGACCCGGCTGCCCTGTGCTGGATGGGGTGAGCTGCCATGCAGGAGGGAAGGATGGACAGTGATGGAGACTTCTCTCGCAGACTTGCTGCTTAGTTTAAGAGGGCAGTAAAGCTGAGCCTTAGCTTTTTTTTTTCTTTTTAAAGGTCCTGCTCTCCTCAAATTCTGTCTAGTAGTATGGAGGGCTGGCCAGGTCTCAGAATGCCTGCCCTGCCAAAGCCTCCATTTAAGGAAAACTGCTCTGCTCCCAGCACTGACTAGTGAGTGTTCCCTTTTTGTAGGTAGTCATAAACCCTGGCTGTGACTGAATAGACTCTGGAAAACCAAACAGTAACTGTGGCTTGCCCTAGAGGATGAACTCAGCCCAGCACTCAGGAGGCTAACAGGAGGAATGGTATAGGTCCAGGCTAGCCTGGGGTACATAATGAGTTCTTGTCTCAAACAAAACCAACAGTAGTCACTACAAAGCAAAAGAAATGAACTCAGCCAATAAATAGACCCCCCCCCCCCACCCCTGGAGCATTTAAGACTGAAATGTGGAAAGATAAAGTGAGTAAATAAGACTTTGTTGAGTTGCACCTTGAAGTAAACAGAGGTTCCAGTCTGTCATGAGGTGTTAGGGAGGAAGACTGTGGGAAATTAGAGACTGTTGTTAGTACTGCGGCAGAGGGAACCAAGTATTAGGAACAAGCTGTGTAGTGTGGAAAGCAATGGAGGATTGACTGGCTACTTGATGGATTAATAAAATAATTGAAGTAAATTTTGAGCTGTTGCTGTCTACAGTCAGTATGCTGGCCCAGTGTTGCTCTGGAAAACATTTAAGCCATTGTTTTTCACCCCGCTGCAGCGGTGCCTACTAAGGAATGTTTGGCAATGTCTAGACTTAGGTTGGCTGTCACAGCTGGGGATTGGGGTGTCCCTGGTATGCTACTAAAATGTCTGCAGCTCCCTGAAAAAAGAAAAAAAAAGGCTTACCTGGATAAACCACCACGATAATTGTCGTGTTGCAGTTGACATTTCGCTCTGTTTTGCAGAGGCAAGGACTTTTGCTGGAGTGAAATGGAGGCCTCGGTGATCCTGCCCATCCTGAAGAAAAAGCTGGCCTTTCTTTCAGGTACGTGTGCTGCTCCGGAACTCTTCCATGTGTAAGCTTCCTTTGATTGGTTCAACGGATGCTGTAAAATTCCTTCTATAAAGGTTTGATTTTAGGGCATTTCTTTAATGAGTTGTTGTGATCCGTTGCTGCTGGTTCACCATGATCTGGTTTTTATTCTGTTCTGTGATTTGACTAAACTGAGTACTACTCTCATGAAATCACGACTTTTCACTTCTGAAGTAAAAATCTAGTAATTCGTGATCGTCGTCGACAGACAGCATTTCAGCAGCTGTTCCTGGAGTGACCAGTTCTGATCCCTTCTCTCTTGGCTTCTGACCTCTGTGTTCTCAGGAATGCTTTCACTGCCCCAGGAGAGTTAGAAAATGCCCCTTCTGCGTTCTCCTGCCTTGACTTTGCTTACAGTGATTAACGGAAGTGTCGTCCACTAAGATGACTTAGGGAGAAGATGGGGACCGTCTGTTCCTGTGAGAGGTGTGGTTCCTTCTGGCCCAGAGACTTTGGAATCTGAAGAGAGACTGTATGTAGGCTCCGTGGCCCTGCCGGTTTAGGGTTACTCGGATTATACGGTTTGCCCTTTTCTTTCCTATTTCCCTGAGCTCTTGTCTTTGTCTTGATAATTCTAATTTCTTTTTTAACCTCAGACATCTGGTGTGTCTTTGTAAGTTGACATAGTTTCCTGATGAAGGTTGTAAAGTTGACAAAACAAGATGCTGAATTCTATTGGTGTTGCTACTCCTAACTTAATATGTATTTTCTTTTTAAAATTTGTGGCATTTCTATCGTCTCCATACTATTCTGATATGGATGATATTATTATCATTTATATTTGTAGCCTTGTGAATTTCATAATGATTATTCAATAATGTGAGTTCTTACAACTGGAAGTATTGAGCAGGCTATAAGGTTTGGTGAATTGGCAGGCACCTGTGTAACCCCAGCACTCAGGAGGCTGAGGCAGGAGGATCAAGAGCTTGAGGCCAGCCTGTGCTATCGGAGTTCTGTCTCAAACAACAACACAAAAGCAGCCAAACAAACATACCAACTGCCTTGAAATGCTCGGGGTGCCAGCTGCCCTCCAGGAAGATGCTTCCGTACCCTTCTTCTCCGTATTGAGATGCCTGTCTTCCTACACTAGTCACTGTGGATGCTCTCTTTCTTCACACCAGTAACATGTCTGTGTCTTACAGCGTTTGTCTGCGTGCATTATCTGACCCTGTCCACCATAGCTGTCCTGAAGGTCTGTGTTTCTCCTGGCTTCTCACTCTTCCACTTCCACACCAGTGGTTTTTTTTCTAACGCCCAGTAAAAGCTGAGGGTGTGGGGTTCAGGGTGGTGTAGTCTTGAGGATTAAACTTGACCCTAAAGGAAGATCTCAAAGTGGTTTAGATGTCATCTACAGTCTAGGTGTGGACTCTTGTGCATTTAGTTTAAATGCGTGAGCAAAACTTACCAGTTGTGAAGAGCAAATGAAAGTTCCCTGGCCCACTCTTAAAATTTTATCTCTTGACCATTAGTAGTTAAAGTCAGTTATTCTCAAACTTTTTTTAAATAATAAAACTGTTTTCAAACCAGCAGCATTACCCAAGGGCCGCTATCATTTGGAAGTCACCTGTGTAATCCATTTAAAAAAAATAAAATAAAGCCTGTATTCTAATCACCAAAAATGCTATTGAGCCACTGTGTATGAGGTCGAATCTTCCAAAATTGTGGTTTATTGATGTTAGACAGAGTGGTTCAGTATCAACAGTTGCATAGAAAATAGCCCTTTACGGCTGCCTTGCCATGAATCACATTTCTGTCACTAATGGCAGTCCTCTTCACCTCGGGCTTTTCGGTTTTTAGTGATGAATTGCTAGAGATTTTACAGAATTGTTTTCTTCAGGATTTGCTGCTTTTTGGGCTTCTTAGACTACTGTAAACGTCAGTTGGTTCTGACAGTAGGCTTCAGTGTGAGTCAGGCAGAATTTTGAAAGACGGTAGTTAGGAATAAAAGTTCTAAAAGTTCCTTTGTTTCACTTGCAGGGCTGGGAATTGAACTCAGTGCCTTTACTATGCTCTATCCACAGTCCGTGGCTGTGTGAGGATCTCACTTTGTAATTCACACTGGTGTGGAGCTTGTCTTCCTGCCTTTGCCTCTTGAGTGCTGAGATTGCCGGCCCGAACATCAGGCATGAAAACATTCTAAAGTTACATTTTACACTTAGGCCTAACGGGACAAGGACTTAAGCTACTTGAGATTTCGTGTGCTCCACCCCTGGCTTTCTCCTGTACCCCCAGGTCCTGCTCCGTGTTCTCAGCTGTGTCTTCACTGCCGTCTAAACAGTCTGCAGTGGGCTGTCCTGCCTGGACACAGCAGTGACCGAGCGTGTTGTTTGCTCTTAATCAAATAATCACATAAGTATGTTATTCGCTGTTTATCTGTTGCGTAGGAGATGAGTCTTCCATTGCTTTCCATATTACACACAGATCCATGTTTCTTCTGTAAGTGAACTCAGGTCATCTGTCACCATGGGATGTTCTTTTAACTTGGTTTTAAAACTTCTATAAGTTTTCCCTCAAGTCTTTACTTACCACAGCTTTTTTTTTAAGTTCATTTTCTCTATTGTCTCAATCCCTTTTTATAGCATATTAATGCTATATGAAGACACTGTGTAGCAAATTAGTGACCGTAATTCATACTGACTTAAAGCTTTTTTTTTCAGATGCAAATTTGTTTGACTTGCAAGCGCTGATTGTACTAGGCACACAGGAAGTGTTTGATGAATTGATTCAATTAGCAGCCTAAATGGAAGAAAATTAAAATGATTTTGGTTTTGATGAAGATTTCATAGATGCATTTTCTTCTGAATTTTTATGGAGTTTTTGCCTTTACTATTATAAGCATTTATAAACTACAGATAGCCATTAGATATTTTCCAAACTGTGTCCCAAACTTGTAATTGTTTTAATAACATTGGATTAAAATGTTATTCATATGACTTTTTAATATCTGGTAAATCTTAATGTATCTTTTCTGTAGGAGGAAAGGACAGGCGCAGTGGACTCATCCTGACCATTCCGTTATGCCTGGAACAGACAAATATGGATGAGCTGAGTGTCACTTTGGACTATCTACTCAGCATTCCAAGGTGACTCTAAAGGTGTCTTTTTCTTCCATTTCAATATTGTTTCCTATTGATTCTTGCTGTTGGAGTATCGCATGCCTTTTCAGCAGTGAAATTACAGGTAAGGACTAGGAGCAGGAGCTGATGCCAGCACACAGATAAGATACTTTACTTCATGGCACACAGATTTCTAAACATGTACCTTCAACCTCTCAAGAACAGTTAGGCTCAGCACCTGTTTACCCTGGAGCTTCAGAAAGAAGAGAAATTGGGGGCTGGGGAGAGGGCTCAGTGGCTAAGAGCACTGCAAGATCTGAGTTCTAGTTCCTAGCACAGTCTTAAGAAGTTGGACCTAGCCCCTTGCGAGTCCACCTATAACCCGATAGATACTGTGAATGGCAGAGACAGGAGATTGCTAGGGTTTGGTGACTGCCAGTCAAGGTCCAGGCTCAGTTAAGTAATAGAGCAGGACACCTGATGTCCTCTTCTGGCCGCCATGTGCATATAGTATACACAACTGCATGGATGTTTAACTCTCCCCACACATGGGGGGTGGGGTAGGGAGAGAGAGGAAGAGAGGGTGAGAGAGAGAGGGAGAGAGGGAGAAACTTAATCTACATGAACTCATCTTTGTTTTATTTCATTAATTTGGTAATAATCTCTAAAATGAGTGAAGGCTGTTAGTCTTCAAATATTTTTATTTTAAAAATACAAAAATGTATATATAATTTAAGTTATAGGTCCTCGAGTTTTTAATTTTCATAGTTATGAATAAAGAAAAGTCTCAAACATTCCTCTCTGCTTAAGTCTACCCGTCACCTCAGAATCAAAGCAGGGGCTGGAGAGATGGCTGGGCAGTTAAGAATGTTTGCTGCCCTTCACTGTTTGCAGCTCCCAGCACCCACATTAGGTGTCTCAGAAACACCTGTAACTCTGAGGGATCGACTTCCTCTTCTGGCCTTTGAAGACAGGCGGCCCACCTCTTCTGCTCTGCCGTCCACAGCATGCACAGCTCTTATGGTAGGCTCCTGTCAAGGCGGGCTCCACACTACACCGCCTCTGCCCTCTGGTGGTTATCCCATGGTTCTGGGGTCTCCACTGCAGTCAAGGCTGCACCTTCCCGGTGGCCTCTCTCGGCCTCTCACAGTACTAAGCCTCAGCTTCTTTCCAGCTTTCTCTCTGCAGCTTTTGTCAAAAGCAGCTCCACATGGGAGACTCTTCAGCTTCCAGTTGAAGATGCAGCCTTGGCCCTCTCTGGCCCACAGCTTTTGTGTACTGACCTTGATGAAATACTCCCCAGAGGATTTTAATCACAGCTGGTTCTTTTAGCTTCAGCTAGCCAGTACCTATCGTCTCCGTAAAGCCAAGGTCTCACTTCAATCCTGCTGCTCTTTAGTTAACTATAGCTGATCCTTCAGCCCCAGCTGGCCAGAGCCGGTAGAGTCTTTGAGGGACCCTCAGACTTCCCTCTAGAACTTTACAAGCCAGGTCTGCATTGTGTTCAGTATTATCTTGCAATTCCCAGAATAGTTTATTAATCTCTGAGCACTCCGTGACTTTTCTAGCCCCCAGAATCTTTCCACAGACCTTCCAAAAGACAGTATGGTCAGGTCCATTGCCACACTTGGAACCAACAGAGGAACAGTGCCTGCTGGCCTGCTCCCAGGTTCATGTTGAACTACCTTTCTTATATACTTGGTGCCAATTTCTCTCCTAGTTTGTTTCTGTTACTGTGGTAAATACCATGACCAAAGCACCTTGGGGAGGAAAGGGGCTTTTGACATGTAGATCACAGTTCATCATCTTGGGAAGCCAAGGCAGGAACTCAGGGTAGGAGCCTGAAGCAGAAACCACCAGGGCACTGCTTGATGGCCTGCTCCCAGGCCCGTGTTGAACCACGTTTTATCCAGCCCAGGCTCTCCTGCCTGGGGAGGGCACTGCTTGATGGCCTGTTCCCAGGCCCGTGTTGAACCACCGTTCTTATCCAGCCCAGGCTCTCCTGCCTGGGGAGGGCACTGCCCACAGGCCAGTCGGATCCAGGCCGTTCTTCAACTGAGGTTCCCTCTCCTCGTGGGTGTCGGGTGGACAACAGAACTGACTGGGGCACAGACCCACTTCCAGTGTGGTGCCTCCTTCAGTGAGCTGATGCTGCTGGCCTTTCAGTGTTAGAGAAGCATGAGTCTTCAGGTAAAGGCTTCTGTCTTCTCCTCCTTTTCTTTGAAGGAAAGTGACCAGACCCGTAGTCAGTGCATTCACAGAGTGGCCTTGCTGATCTGTGTTGCTAACCACCAATCTGTCAGTTGCCACTGAGTGATAAACCCCTTGGTTTAGTAACTGAGATGAGGTAGACTCACAGCTGTATAAATCATGAAAATAGTCCCAGATGGACCGTTGGGGCCAGCTTTTCTGTTTGATGGTTGAGGGGACTGAAAGTAACAGACTTGGTTTTGTCAGGCTCACACAGCTAGTCAGTCATAGAGCAGGGCTAGAATGTGCTGTTTCTCACACTGATTCAAAAGGGGATTTTCTTGTTTGTTGTTATTTTTTGTTTGTTTCTTCAAATTAGTACAAATCAGCATAGCTGCAATTTCTATGAAGTCTAGTTTGGAGGTTCAAATGAGATGCCAGAAGTATCGTAGGTGAAAGGCCTGGTGCAATGGCTCAGTGCATACAGATGCCCGCTAGTTCACACCCAGGACCCGTGTGGGAGAGGGAGGAACCGAGGGCTGCAGGGCGGTTTCTGCATAAAGATGCCTGCAAGTTTATACTCAGGACCCGTGTGGGAGAGGGAGGAACTGAGGGCTGCAGGGCGGTTTCTGCATAAAGATGCCCGCTAGTTCACACTCAGGACCCGTGTGGTAGAAGGAGAGACCGAGGGCTACAGGGCAGTTTCAGACTTTCACATGTGCTAACCCCCACACAATAAATAAATAAACAAGTAAATAAAATGTAGTAAAAGTAAGCAAGGCAGGATTAGAGGCCTACATACTACTTTTCCATGAATGTGCCTCCAACACTGCCACATGTCTTTGAGGCTGAGTTCCAAAAGATACATTCACCTGTGATGAGGCTGCTCTGCGGATTTGTGCAGTCACACTCAGCCCACTGGGAAGCTACCCTCCAAGAGGCTTGGGTAGCCACGGCTGAGTGAAGGCACAGCAAATCAGCTCACGTCTCCTGACTTGTGTTCACCCAGGAGTGTGCACCTAGGAAGTCAAGTGATGGAAGGCAAAACGGGCGGAGAGTTAACCAGCTTAGTCTCTCTCTTGTCTCTCTCAGGCATAATGTATTACAAATTTAGTGATGTGCTAAAGGTAGTTCTTCAATTTTTACAAGCATTATTTAGTTCTTTTGAAGTTTTCCAAGGTTTATGCAGTTTCACTAATAATGAATAGCTTCATATCAGTTTCTGCCTTTGTCTTTCTGGGGGCTTCCTTTTCTTCAGAACTCTGCGTCCACCTATGTGGGCTAGTAGGACCTGCTAACTGACTGTTCTCAGGGATTCACATTTGTCAAAAAACTAAATAGATGTAAAAGTTGTGAGCACAGTAGTTGTTTGGAGCAAGCTTGTGGCTGCTTTGAACTTTGTTTTAAAACTTTAATTACAGTAGACCTCAGGTTTGACCTGTGGAGGGGGATTGGGTGGTAGATATGGAGAGAATACCATGCATCTAAGGAAACAATAGGTAGTTATTCAGCCATTTAATTCTCCTGAGAGGAACTCTGTTCCCTCTCTCCCACCTTATGAGGGAACTCAAGCATGGAAAGGGTTAGCATAGTCAGCTTGTCCAGAACCCTGTGGCAAACCCGAGCTGGAGACAGAGTTGGAGCCCAGCAGGTGGACCCCTGCCTGCCAGGAACCACTGTGCTCCACGGCCACGTCTCTCCTCACTGTGCGTAGCCATCTCTGTTAGGATCACAGTCATGGCTTCATAATTTCTAGTAAATACTCATGAAACTTGGACCTGTCACAACTGATAATTGACATGAAAATAACTGAATATCATATTCTAAAAGAAATCCTGGATATCTTGTAAAATTTTAGAGTTTTTCTTTCAACGGTATGTTAGGCAGTACTTCAAATCATGCTATTTTCTAGTTCAAAAAGAACTTGCTGACTGTGTGACAAGAGTGTCAGGGTTTGAAACCACAGGAGCTATCTTCTGGGCTCACAATTTAGGTCTTTCATAAAATGCTCCCAAGGAATTGTTCATGTAATTCCTGATAGAAATTCAACATCTGTTAAAACTAGCTTGTACATTTCTCAAATTTTGATAATTTTAAAAGTCCGAGTTCTGATTTTTAAATCAGCTTTTTCTAGTTGTGGAAACACTCTGTTGTAGAAGAAACTTCTGAAGGAAGGGGCTTCAGGAGGTAGCGCAAGGCACATAGCCATTGAGGCTGTAAGTCTCCATTGCTTGGTGACTGTGTGAGAGCCTGCAGGGGTGCCTCAGTTTTACAGGTGTTGAGTAAGCAGGGAATCAAGCGGACCAGTTGTCAGCACTCCCTAAGGACCAGCACACAAATGCCACAGACACATCCTCAGTGTGTCAGGCGTCCCTGTGCTGAGACAGCAAACACAAAAAGGAGAGACCGTGGGAGCTTACAGGACAGTGAGGTAACACTTTACCAAGATGATAGAAATGAGTGTCAGCCCCCAAAGTACTTGATGAAAGAATATTGTCGGGGGCAGAGGCCCTGAGACAGGAGTAGGTTCAGCATTCTTGTGGGTACCCCAGCCAGAGAAGTGTGGCTGGTGCACTTTGGAAGAGTAACAAAGTGCTCGGACACGGGTTAGAGGAGAGGCTGGGTCCATGGAGACAGTGGTCGGGACACATCTCAGCATAGGAACAGAGCTGCTGTGTTCTCAGCCATTTTCAGACAAGTCCTCACACATTTTCCAAGGCCTTCTAATCTCGCAGCATTGAGCTAGGAGTTAACGGTCTTAGAAGATGAACATTCTGATATTCTGCAAGCATGTCCTCTGATGAAGATGAATTCTACACACAGCATTATAATAAAAGCACACTCAAACCAGTGCTGATATGTATCAGCAGAACTTTGAGCAAAAGAAGAGCCCTAAGATAAAATCAAGAAATAGTTATAAGCATCAGGGCACTGACCCTAGAAATCCTTCAAAAGGCTTTCATGGGTCAGAGGTGAGGGTGTTTGGTATCCACATTTCTTTTACAGAGCTGTTTTAAACCAGCCTTGTGACCCTTGAAAGGTCCTGATGAGTTAGGGTCTTAAATTTTTTTCTTTTTATTTATTGCGTGGTATCTTACAGAACCCTAGACCTGTGAACATGCCCTTTGTAAAGCATTTGAAATACCACTTGGTTGGCAGTTTTGAAATAGTATCTCTGGGTTGTATATATTTTCATTTTTTAATCTTAGTGAAAAATGTAAGGAAATTAAAATTAAGGGTCTTTTTAAGCACTCTAAAAGATTTAGTGTTTTATCCTTTAAGATCGTTACAGATGGCATTTGCAGGCTTCATTACTTTCACAGTATTAACCTGAAGATAATTTATAATATGCATTGAAATATAAATGTGTTGTTTTTTAAAAAACATATTTAACAAATGATTGTGTGACCTACATCGCAGGGTTATAGATGATAATAAGAAAACAGCAAGTGTTGGGAATGGTGTGTGTCTTTGGGTGTCAGGCCCACACTGGAACCCTTTGTCTTGGCTCCATTCTTGCAGACTTCTCAGCATCAGGAGACCCTAAGTTCTTGCCTTCCTCCAGAGGCCACTTAGCATCCAGCTTTCCTGTCTTGGCTGGCCTTTCTGGGCTTGCAAAGCCACACTAAGTCATAGTGACCTTCATATATGTCTTGTTGGTAGGACCTCTAGGAATTTCTTCTTTACTTGCACCTACCAATGCCAATGGCTGTCTGGTTCTTCCCCTCCCCTGCAAGTGTTTAAGTGCTACTGTGAGCCTAGGCTCAGGCGTGTATTGCATCCCTCTTCCCTTCCACAGAAACGTCAAGAGGATCCCTCCCCCCCCCAATGTAGATCCCAGCATTGAATACTTAAAATTTTAAAACAAATCTCATTAACTTGTCATAAAATACCGTTTTAGTAAAGTATGCAATTCAGTGATTTGTAGTGTAGTCACAGGGTCGTGTGGTCACACTAACTCCAAATAGTTTTCATCTGTCCAAAAGAATCTCTCTACAGTAGCCGTCCCTCCCCGGTTTCTCTCACCACCTGCCTCATTCAGCCACTAAACTGCTCTGTGGATTTGTACAGGAGAATTAAACCACTTCTGGGGGCTCAAGTCTGGCTTTGGGGCATAATGTTTTGAAGGGTTAGCTGTATCATGGAACGTGTCAACTGCTGACCAGTGATTTTTGATGTGGCTGTACTGTTTCGTTTCCTGTTTAGTAGTTGATGGACACTGGGTTTCTCCTTTTTTTGCTATCAGAACTTGCGCTATTCTATTTATGTTCACGTTCTTGTGTGGTCATGTGCTTCAATTGGCATTATCTTTGGGGCACATCTCGGTTTATTTAACCCAGTTTCTGCCTTTGCCTACCAAGGATCCTGTTTCTCTTCCAAATACTGAGCTCTGTCTCCTCATTCTTGGAGTTCTCACTGCTTCTCAGGAGAACTAGACATGCTGTTTTGCTTGTCTAGTTAGATATATGCTAGAGTTAATATATGTTTAAATTAACTCTTGTGGCTAATGTGGATGCTGGGAGGGAACATGGAAGGGCCTCTGAAATCTCATAGACTGCCAGATTGAAATCCAGGGAAGGTCAGCTATTTACCTTTCTGATAATGGGTGTCATTGAAAGGACTCTGGGCTGGACTGCCTTCCCTTCCAAATCCTTGCTCTGGTCAGCAAGGCTGAAGTTTCTCCCTTGTACTGAGAGAGAGCAGTTGAGGCCCTTGCACTAAGGTGCATAATGATAACAGTGAGGGTAGCTGTGTAGTTTTGTCTTTGGGATGGAACTTTTCCACGTAGCAGCCATTACATTGCGTAAATATTTGAATAATTAAATACGATACAACACATTTTGCAATACTGAAGATAGCATTTTGCTGGCCAGATGACTAAGAATGAGAAAATCAAAGCAGCGATGGGTTAGAGGTGGTGCATTTAAGCTTTCAGTCAATTTGTAAAGCAAGTATGACCTCATCGTGTTAAATTTCCTGTGCACAAAGAAGCCAGTCTCCAGTGGTTTAGTCATAGCTTATTATTTTCCACCTGTTTTAAGCTGTTTCCTCACAAATCCTCAATTCTGGTGAGAAGTGTGCATAGGGCATGTGGCAGGTGGTAGTTACCTGGTTCTCTTTGATCCCATTTTACAGATAGAGAAATTGAGAAGCTGTTGGTACTGTTGAAATGGTACTTGGGTTTCATCATTTTTTAAGACCTTAAGTTACCATGTTTTAGAGTATTTTCCTTCCAAATTAGCTTGTGATTAATGCTTCCAGAAATGAGAAAAATAATGTTAGAAAATGGAAAGAATACTTGGGAGAATTTTATCCATTGATATTGTAGATTAGACCAGTCGAGGTGATTTGTACCCTACCTGCTATTAAAGATTTCCCCCTTCTTCTGTCAGGGTTATGAGGAGAGTCTGGACCTGGTTTAACACCCATGATTGTGTTTTGTTTCAGTGAGAAATGTAAGGCCCGAGGATTTACCGTGATCGTGGATGGCAGGAAGTCTCAGTGGAATGTGGTGAAGACAGTGGTCTTAATGCTGCAGGTGATTCTGTTTCCTTTGTCTGTTGGTCGGGAAATGCTGTTCCTTTTTCAGCAGGGTACCATGATGAAAACTGCAGTTACATATTATTTATCAGGCCATGCCCAGGCTTCTCAGCAGGGACTGAGTTCTGAAAAAAATATTCCCACACTACCAGTGGATTGCTTAAATTCCATTTTTTATATGTTTAAATTTATGTAGTAGTAGAGTTGAGCCCCACCTTGCTGTACAGGTTTTAAAGGCTGAAAATAGTATGGCATTTTGGAGTAGTCTGAACAAGAAAGCCTGTGGTTGTCATGTGTGCAGACCAAGAGCACAGGACTCATCTGGGTGCTCTGCTTTCGGGGTCACACTCCCTACCCTGGGCTACTTCTTGTTGGTTATACAGGAAGCAAGTCAAGTTTTACAGGTCAGTCTTACATGCTAGTAACTTCTTAAAACAAAAACAAACAAAAACCACAACAAAGAAACAACAATAAAAATGAAGGGTTTGTGATGATCATCCTAAGAATTTATAGCCCAGAAATTTATTTCCTAGCTGAGTCTTTAGGACATTAACAGTTCACATATTCACATTGAATAAACAGTTACTAAGTCTGCAGAGTCAGGGGTAGGGCATCTTGTCTTGTATTTCTTTGTGTCCCTCACACTGTTCTGTTGCTCTCTGGCATGTACAGAGGCACAGCCAACTCTTGTTATCTGCTGTAAGGCTACTGAAAATATTGTCATGTGACATGGGGACATTTAAAGGGGTGGATTGCTCTTGGGCACCCGGTCTTCTTTAGAAGTGTCCAGAAAAGGCAATATTTGAGCTATATAAAAGAAGTTTTCTGAATAAATGGAAGAAAATGAAAAGCCACCCCTGGCAGGGATTGTCACCTAGTGACACCCCCAGATGAAGCAAATTCAATGAAGTGAGTTGGTTGACTAATTTGGGGAAACTATAATTAATTCAGCGGGAGCAGGCAGCATGCGTTCAGTTCAGTGAGCACCAATGGCGTATAAGGGGGTCAGTGCACGTGGGTGGTGACTGGTTGCTCTTTTAGGGTCTGTGCAGAGAAATGGACTGAGCTTCTAAATCCTCCATTGGAGGATCCTGTGCAATGCTCCATCCTTTACTTAGGATGGTTGGGTCGAAAGGGTTTGAGGGTGGCAACAAAGGGAGAATTTTAGGCTTTAGCTTTAGTGTTGGAGGGAGCTTAGTGTGGCTCAAGTACATTATCTCGGTTTAGTCTCACGAAGGTGGGAGTTGGCACAGCCCAAGTACTGGGCCTCGGCTGTTCCCACGCGTCTGAAGTGATCCCCGATTATCTACCATTGCTCTATTTTTTTTTTAATTTTTTAAAATCTGTATGGGTGTTATACCTGCATGCATTGTCTGTGTATCACAACTGTGCCTGGTGACCGAGGAGACCAGAAGTACGTGTCAGATCCCCTGGAACTAGAGTTACAGACAGTTGTGAGCTGCCATGTCGGTGCTGGGAATTGAACCTGGGTCCTTTGAAAAAGTAGCCAGTGCTCCTCACTGCTGAACCAGCTCTCCAACCCCTATTGCTTCCTTCCTAAGGATATGACCTAAATGCTTCCTCATTAGGCTCTGTCTTGAGTTCAGAAAGTGTCCTCAGAGGACCAGTTTCTAAGATTGGTGCCCCATAGCAATCTCTCTGTCAAATGTGTGATAGCCTCCCCACCCCAGAGACCGGTCTGACTTCTCTGAAACAGTTGTTAAATTCCACTTAGGTAAGCCGTCCATTGACGGTGGTCTTGTGTTCTTCCTTTGATTGTGACACTCACCCGTCACAGGTGAGGACTTGGGACCGGCTAGGAACTGCACTTTGATCTGCGACAGTTGTGGAGGACAATCAGTTGACTTAATCCCTGCTGTGATTTCAATCCCTGATAGGTAATTTTTTTAGACATTTAGACTGACTCAAATATAACTTTTTCAGAATTCCCTTTGCCATTTTCTCCTAGTTAACTGTCTCTACTCAGGAAGTGACTTGCTGCTTTGATCTTAGGGGCTGGGGCCAGCTCTTTGGGAGCGCTCCCAGCTCCCTGAGAGCAGCTTTGCCTGTCACTAATGTCCTGAGAGAGGGACCCTGTTTCTCTTGCTTCTCATAGCTTTCCTATCCGGTGACTTTGAAATACAGATTTTTTCCATAGGTTTATAAATGAGTAAACCACACCCTAACCTTCCCAGCCTCTCTGATAAGGGTTTTGAAAACAGTTGAGTTTATCTTGCTTCCCTTAGCTACATCCTAATCATTACAGGAGCACCGGATTTCTGCTCATACTCCACCACAGAATTGAATAGTTGTATTTCCAAGTTAGACTTCTATGCAGCTTCCTAATTCATAAGAAGTACTTACTAAGTTAACTACCACTCCTGGTCATTTTAGAAAGTGTGAAATTGTGTTGTGTGAAAAAGTGCTTTTGTCTTCTTCTTCTTCCAGTTAATAATCACAAAGAATCCTGACTTTTTATGTAATGGCAGATAAGAAACTAACTTTGTGAGAAATGGATTTCTCATTTCCTGAAGAAATTCTTTATGATGGTGGTATTAGAAAACATTTATCCCATACCATAGAAAAACCAATTTTACTAGTTTCTTAGCTAAAATGTAAGTCTTGTGGTTTAATCTAACCATACTTCCAGCAAGGATACTGTGTATAACAAATGTAATTGACATGTATGGTGTGTTTAGAACTGTTTGAAAACTTTCCTAATAGCTTGTCTTTCGTTATTGCCATTTAGGTTTTGAGTTTGGAGAGTTTCTTCTGCTTTACTATTTGATTTCTAAGTATTGTAGCATCCTCTCAAGTGTTTAGAATTTGCACATTTAGTAAGTCATTTGCATGTGTAATTTGTACTTATTCTTCTATGTTTTGCAGAATGTTGTTCCAGCTGAGGTATCCCTTGTATGTGTAGTGAAGCCAGATGAATTCTGGGATAAGAAAGTCACACATTTTTGTTTTTGGAAAGAAAAGGATAGACTTGGCTTTGAGGTAAATATAATCTTTATGAAAACGGTTATGTTGCATCCTTGAAAGTAGAGTTTGCTGGTATTCCTGTGCATGATCTGTTAGTTACTTAAAGGTACTTGCTTTGTGCCTGCTGAACTGTAACTAGTCTACACTCAGCACTCATACACTTGTTGAATGAGAGTCTTTTTCATAAACTGTGAAAGTTTTATTTCCATCTGTACACTCTTTACTAACTCCTAGATAACTAGAATCTTTGTATTTAAGGTTTTCAATGATTATGAAGAGGAAATGTAGCAGTTACTAGGCTGCTCTAGACCTTAGAGTGGAGGTAGGAGTGTGTTGCCCGTGATCTGCCCTGTTTGTTTTCGGGGTTTTCTCACATGGAGTCCGCTGTATTTGTCTTTAATCTTTACGCTTCGGTCACTCTCTCCTTTTGACAACCTTCAGGATTCCACTTTGATTGGGTTTCAGCACTTCTCTTTCATATGTGTGGATCTTTCACTTGGCATCATTCTATTTGTAGTCTCTAGAGTTCTTCTATCTCCAGACTAGGTCCCTCATTAATTGTGAAAATTCTCTGGCACTTTGATTTGAAATATCTCTGTTCCCCTGATTTCTGTATTTCTGGAATTTAACTATGTCCATACTGGATGATTTGAAATTTTCTCACTTTTCTTATTTGATCTTTGCTTTATTTTAAACCCCATATCATCCTCTTCTTATTAGTTTTTTTTTTTTTTTTTAAAGTACTGGGGATTGAACTTAGGGTCTTGTGAATGGTAGACAAGTGCTCTGCTATGGAGCTATGTTCCCAGCCTAGTTTGGGTGTTTTCTCTTTTGGAGTTTTTTCAATTTTGATCCATTTTCAGGCTCTGTTTTTGGTTGTACTCAGTGTGTTGACGAGACCACTGGAAAGTTTCCTCATCTGTTGCCAAGGTTTTGCTGTGTAGCATCTCCATTTGATTCCTGCATCCCCAGCCTTCCATCCAAGTATTCACATTCGTGGATTTAAATCACATAGGAAAATATTTGAAAAAGTTCCTTCTGGGATCAGGAGATGGCTCCATTGCTAACACGCTTTCTGAGCAAGCATAAGGACCTGATTTCAATCTCTGAACCCAAGTGAAAAAGCCATACATGATGGCACATAATTCCAGTCCTTGGGAGATGGAAACAGACAGATTCCTGGGGCTGGTTAGTGACCTTGGTGACCTTGGTGCCAATGAGAGACCCCATGTTTAAACAAACAAACAAACAAACAAACAAACAAAAAAGGGGTGAATGGCACCCAGGATCCTGAGAAAGGGTATCTAAGGTTGTCCTCTGGCCTCTGCTTACATTCTACAAACATTCAAGCAGGCAGACAAGCAGGTACGCACGCACAGCTACACACACACAACCACCCCCCCAAAAAAAAACCACAAACAGATGCATGCACTTCTTTCTGGACTGAACATAGCCTTTATTCCTAAACCATACACTTTAACAATTCTTTATCCACCATTTGCATTTTATTAGGTATCCTAAGTAATCTAGGGTTGATTTAAAGAAGAAGGAGTTTTATGTGAGGTAATACAGATGCAGTAACACTGTACTTAGAGAACTTGAAAATCTTTAGATTTTGGTACTTGGGGTGGTATCCAAAAATCCAGCCCCCTTAAACCCTAAGTGACGTCTTTAGTGATCTCTATTTTTTGTCTTTGGTCATCTCATCCATCCCTGTCCATGACTTTTTGTTCTCCACATTATAGCTATCTTCATAGTTCCCGCTACCTGACACATTATCATTTGTGTCTCTTAATGTTTATATTGTTTGCTCTGAGTCTTGACTGTGGTGTTTCTTGTATGCTTTTCCATTTTATTCTGAATTGACTATTGGACGTTTTAAGACAGAAAAAGTCAAGGTAAATCGCATTTGTGTCTGCATGGTAACCCACTTATCTTCTTTGGGTGTTAGTGGGGAGGGAAAGTGTTGAGCTACAGTAGCCACGAGTTGGTTTGGCTCTTGGCTTTGTTTTATTCTTTTCCCCAGGGTACCGTAGGCTTCAGATTTCTCTGCAGTTCCTTTGGTTGGAGCAGTGCTCTTTCTGGCTTTCTACATACTAAGTAGAAACGAGCTGTTTCTCCTGCTTGTTCTCGCAACCTTGTCGTTAATCAGTGGATTTGACTGATATGTGGACTTAGTGGAGAGATGTTTGCTAGCCAACTAAAGGAAGATGGCTCTAGCTAGTACAGAGTATTCTAACAGTTTGTGTGGGAAACCACATCCCAAGAAGCTGAGGCCAAGAAAGCCTGAATGCTGTGGTTGGCACCAAGGAGAGCGAGCACTTCAGACTTGTAGTTCATAGCTAGGACCTGCAGGAAACATTGCCCTGCGAGCATGCAAAGTAAACAGGTGCCAGTTGTTCAGACTCAAACTGTGAGCAGAATAGGGAAAACCCAGTGCCTTTTATGAAAGCCTGTCACATCCTGCTTACACATTGGTGTCTGCTCCTGTGTGAATGAACTAGCATCTTGGAGGATAAAAGAAGAAACAGCTTTGGGCTGATGTCATAGATGTTTGACTTAAAATGGAAGAGTTTAATGAATGAAGCTTCTTGTATCAGTATATTTTCTCTTAGACACTGAAGAGATTCGGTTTTGATACTTACCCAGTAAATAAGTGCTTATTAAAAGCTTGATGTCCTAAAGAGATGGGATTAATTTCAAATGCTGGTTATTTTGCCACTAAACATATTCAACTTTAAAGGGAAGTTCAGCACCAGCTATTAAGTGGTACTTAGAGCTTAGAGATAGAATTAAATTCAACATTGATTCTTATTTAATTGAAAATTATTTTCCTTGGAGTCATTTCTGATAATTTGGGCTTTGATGAAAAAAAAAAAAGGCCTATGTCTTTGTAGATATTCTACTTATTTTTTAACAGTATAATTTTGTTACAAATACTGATGTTCTTACAAGCATAACCAAGTTCTTTGCTTTCTAGAATTAGATATAATATATCAAAGTTTCACTATCAGCTTTCCACAGCATTAATCAGCTGAGCAACTTGTGGTCCTGTCAATTGTTCCCACAGGCTTTCTCATTTTCTTTCCCATCCATGTGAATTTTTCCTTCTAGTGACCTCTCTCCCATTCACTTGGGCAGTACTGCTCACTGTCCACCAGATAGGCCTTGCCTTGCTGACTTCAGTGTTCCTCTGTCATCCTTCCGGTCTGAATCTATACCCACTTGCTCAGCTTCCTTTTCCCTAGCAGTGTGTTCATGTTCCTTTTGCCCCTCAGCAGCACCTCACCAATGACTGACCAATGTTGCTGGTCAGAGGATAGTGTCTGTGTATTAATGACAAGACTAGACCTGGCATTAATCCTGTCCTCAAATGGAAATACCAAAAATTAGAATGCTGCCCCCACCCCTTTTTAGCTGTAAACACTCATAATAATGAGTTAATTCAAATTTGTGTATATTAATTCAAATTTGTCTTCTACTCTGTTCTTATTACCTTTCTTGATGTCTGTCAGTGGTGAGATCCAGGACCAAAGGTGTCCTTTATGTTCCTTTGTCAAAGACACCCCTGGCCACATTTAGTCTTTTCAGTTTTGATAGAAGTTTATTAGAACTTTGTGGAGAGTTGGAATGTTATAGATCTAGAGCCAAATTACTTTGGGCCATCTTTAGCCCCCTGAATAGCTCGCCCCTGTGTCTGACCTACTGTCATTTCAACGACAGGTAAAGACCTTCAGAATGTATTAACAGCAGACCACTAGCTTCCACCAACCTGAAAGCTAAGAACATCATCAGAAAGCTTTGATTGAAATAGGCTTTACATGAACCACTTTCTTTCCTTCTGTGTCTATAAAGTCCAAGTAACTACTTCTACATAGGAACATGTTATTTGGGCAGCCTGAATGGGGCTGTGGTCACTAATAGTTCATGTACAGCTCAGAATAAATTGATTTTTTTACTCTTTGGAAGTGTCGTTAGCAGTGTTTTGTGTTTCTTGGAAATTGGTTTTATTTCTTCAGTTAGGTTTTTGTTTTGTTTTCATCTGCTGAGGTTTTCTTTGAGGACTGGTACAAGCATAGGAAGGGTTTGTGAATGGTGTCTCCTTCCTGGGAACGAATATGCAGTCCTCCTGGTGTCGGTTGTGGGGTCATGGGCCTTTCCATTAAGTGAAGCTTTTTAATCCTCCATTTCTTTTCTTTTCTTTTTTTTTTTTACACATTGTTTTCATTCTTGGGCAGACCAGCTTTCATCTTTTGCATCTTGGACAGATGCAGCATTTCCCATCATGAGCACATTGCAGTGAGCATCCTGCAGTATATTGGACACACGTTCACCATCTTTAGCCTTGATTTCCACAGTCACATTTCCCCAAGGCTGCTCTCCTCGCAGTGTGTTCCTTGATAATGAGATTCCCTTGTCGACCATTATCTTTTTTTTTTGTTAATAGTTGTGCCATTCAGTGTCTCAACCTCTCAGTTCTACTGCACTTTCTCCGTGTCCTTGCTGGAGCATTTGCATAGTGAGAGGCTTGCACTCTCTTGCTGTGTGCCTGCCCTCGGTCCCTCTTACAAAAGCTGCTGCCCTTGTTTGCCACCCTCTGTTGCTGATCTTCAAAACAACAACTTCATCCCTTAGCCTGAAGATCCCCATTTCTTTTAAGTTCACAGATTTAAACCATTCAATGTTTCAGTCCAGTGTATTTTTACTGACGTCTTTAGTCAGTGAAGATTTTTTCAGGACTCTTCGGTGCTGCCTAGTGGTCTCTGTCAGTGTTAGTGACCTGGGTGAGATAGTGTTCTTCTGCATCCTTTGTCAGCACCCTGACTCGTCTGGTCCTTTCACTGAGAAATGGTGTTTGGATGTCACAGTCTGGATGTACTATGTAGGTGTACATATTCTACAGGGTTTGCCTAGAAAATACTTCAGTATCATTTTAGTTCAACCAGCTAATTTTAAACTGTTATAAAAATTCTTTGTCAAATGATTTTATTAAGGAAAAGTTTTTTATTACCAATGGATTTTTAATATTGATAAGGTATTAAAATAGATTTATCTGAGGTGCTAGTATTTTTTTAAAAAATGTTGGTATTGTCAGAATTTTTTGGTAGATTTTAAAGCAGATAACCATAATTCATTGAATTGATTTGAAATGTTGTTGCATTAACTAAACAATGATAATTTGCTATTATTTTGAAGCAGTATTGCATGTTTTACCCTAATTCTGTTTCCTTATTTACCTTCAGAGACTTTAATAGTTTACTTAGTGTTTTTTCTTCTCTCCATAGGTTATTTTAGTGTCTGCCAATAAGCTGACTCGTTACATAGAGCCATGCCAGCTGACAGAAGACTTTGGTGGGAGTCTTACCTACGATCACATGGACTGGCTAAATAAGAGGCTGGTTGGTATATTATTATAAAACAAGATAGTCAAATGTCTCTACATGTGACTAACTTTCTCATTTTAATCAACTGAGATGTAAATTGTTTCTGTAAAAGTGAAGTAGCACATTGTGTGTGTCATAGTGTAGTGTTTGGAACCCACACTCTGTAGTCAGGGTCACTTGGCTAGAGTCCTGATGCTAGAAACTGGGTGTATGACCTTCCCTGATAGATTTAATTTCTCCATGTCTTAGTTTTCATATCTGTAGCACAGTGATCATAATAATAGTACTATCTTGTGCAATTGTGAGCAAGACAAAATGAATATGGACTGAAACATTTAGATCAGCCCGGCAGGGTACAGTAGCACTCTGTGTTAGCTGTACCATTGGATCAGGATTGGGAAGATGGCCCTTAAAGCAGAGTGACAGCAGCACAGTGTCTCGAGAGGTGGTCTTCATGACACAACCATTTCAGAAGATAGTCATCATGTGAGTTATCAGCCTGAGGTGCAGCGTGACAGACTAAGCTTGTCATTTCGGAAAGCTTCTCCTTGTCCAGACTTCTGAGGTGTGCTGCTCTGTGTCACACAGCATTGTTTTTTTGAATTGTGGAGAGAATGGTATCTAAAGTAGCTTCTTGAGACTGCATACTGACTTCAGGGAACTTTGGTTATCCCTGAATGAAGAGCCACTCCTGCCCTTTATCTAAACAGTGACACGTCTATCAGACAACTGTGTGTCTGTTTACCTGTGTTCAGATGTACCCAAATCCCTTCTCAGAAATACTTATGGACTCATGTTAAAATGATAAGTAATGTATCTTTATACTACATACTTGTCTGTAAACCTCTTGACCTTTACATATGATCAGTCTTGACTGGTGATAGAATAAGGTGAAGAAATAGTCTGTAACTAGAATTGGTGGCTATAACTGGTCTCAGTAACATTTGTGTAGTTGTGAAATTTTTTATTGGTACAGATGTTTCTCAAAGAAGGATAAGAATGGAAATAAATTATATTATTCATTATACATTATATTTATAAATTATAATATAGTAAATTATAAAAAATAAAGTTTGAATACTTTAATGCATTTAAATTTGAAAATTCCATTGCCATTAAAACTCTTCATTGCACCGGGCGGTGGTGGCGCACGCCTTTAATCCCAGCACTTGGGAGGCAGAGGCAGGTGGATCTTTGTGAGTTCGAGGCCAGCCTGGTCTACAGAGCGAGATCCAGGAAAGGCACAAAGCTACACAGAGAAACCCTGTCTCGAAAAACCAAAAAAAAAAACAGCAAAAAAAACACAACTCTTCATTGCTTGAGATGTGATTTTGTTTTGGGCCCTGTGCACTGTTGTGCTCTGGTGGTTGAATTTCACCATGTGACTTTGGGAAGGAAAAGAAATCCCACTGACTAATGCTGTTGCTGTGTACTGAAGTCCTTATTCAGTATTGATTTGAGATTATTCATGGTATGTCTGTACACTCTCCTGTTGCAGGTCTTTGAGAAGTTTACAAAGGAGTCTACATCATTACTGGATGAGCTGGCTCTGATTAACAATGGAAGTGATAAGGGGAATGAGCAGGAGAAAGAGAGGTAGGTGCGGTCATCTGGTGAAGGATGCCCATGCTGCTGGCTCAGGTTAAGAGGACCACAGTGAACAAAGCTCTACTCAGAACTGCCACACACAGCTAGTGAGCATCTGCTTGACACACACAGCGCTCCTTTGACTTAAGTTGGCTTTAAAAAAGCTACGTTCTGATGAGCCTGGCTGTTTTCCTTTTCCCTTGTCCTGGGAAGCGTTGTGTTATAAGAACATACTTTGAAAATGAAGCCACTTTCTACTCTTCTTGGTTTTGCCTTTTCCTGAGAACACCTGCAGCTCGAAATAAAATTCTTACAACTTTATTTAAGTTCATTAGAACCAAATATCTAACATATAGAATTCTTGTCCAGAAACTTGATAGTTGTAAGTTTAACGTAAAGAGTTCGACATTTCATCATACTTGACATAGTGGTTGAGTTGTATCATCCATCTGTAGCTTTCCAGACTTACTACCTTACCAGGGTGTTCATTGCTTTCTACAGCCTAGCCAGTTTTAACCTTTTGGTTAGTGGACCAAGTTCCTTTCTGCCTAAGGCTAAAGCACATTAAGAAATAAATCAGCCCTGAGCTTTTGATTGTCAGTGGTCACTAGAACTGTGCTTTCTCATCAGGAAGTTTGCAGGAATCAGCAAGCATTCTCATCTAGCTCCTTTGCATCTGACATGACCCTGTATTGGAACCTATGCATATGAATGTAAATATGGTCATGTGTCAGTCACCTGAAATAACACAGTCACATGGATGTAAGAGGATGATAATTTTACCAAATGTTGATTAAAATGAGTTCAGAATATAAAAACAAATACTTCGAATTTCAGTCTAATTAAGGATAGCATAAATAGTCCCAACTGTTAATGTCTTGTACATAGTCTATATTGTGTGGCTTCTCCCCTGGAGGCACAATGTCTCTTCATCCCAGACACAGCACCTGTGGCCCACTAGAGCCATGGTTCCACACAGTCTAGCTTAGTGAACCGATAATTTATTTAGGTCACTTATGAGAGCATGGGTGAGAGGTTACCTACAAGACAGTAGGCAACTTATAGGCAGCTGTATCACAAAGAAGAGACTCTCGGTCTAGCAGGTGTCAGCCCCTTGTATATCCAGCAGGTGGGGAGAGGCCTCCTGTGCTGTCTAATGCACCCCCCTCCTCTCTCATAGGGAATTTTAATGGGCCAGTCTTAGGACAGTCTCTTGATGGTAAACGTAGCTGCTGTGTTTCAAAACAGCAATTGGCATATCCTACTTGGGGAACAGAGTTCCACAACACCTTATAAAAGTGTAAATACATATATATGGCTAAGTATGTGATTTCTATATAGCTGTCACATACACTTTTATTTCTCAGGAAAGATGTGCATATGAAGAAGGTACCCATAGAAAATGAGTTAATGGACAGAATTTAATTCTGTATTCTATCCCTGCTGATGGCTGTAAACCTGGCCTAAGGGCTCCAAGGGAGCACAGCGTCAAAGAAGCCTGTCTAATTGCTTCTTTAGACCTCCCATGCTTATATGACAACAGTTCAGGGCCTTGTTCTCTTTCTCTAGTAAGAGTGTTTGAGAAAGACTTTGGGAAATGCTGACTTGTGTGTCCATATGAAGTATTAATAAAATCTCGTGTCTACCAGTTTCTTTCCACACTCAAATGTTATTGTTCAGTTTTTTTTCCATACTTAAGTAATAGAATCCCTTCTGTCTCTTGAATTTTTATCAACCTTCATTATGTTAGCCCTCAGGGAACATCTTGACTACCCAAGAGGTGAGGGCATAGATCAGTTAACAAATTACAGGATTTAGTTCAGCGTATAGCAGTATGGTCTTTGGCTATGATTTGCTAGCTCCTCTATCTTGAATTTTCTCTTTCTCACATGTTTCAGAAAGTGAACGCAGAAATCCAGCTGCCCAAGAAACAGGACCACAGTAGGGAAGGTGTGGAGCATACCTGTTAGGACACCACACATGCATGCATGTGTGTATTCATGTTAGTCATTTCTGCAGGTTGACTTTTTGCTAAACGTGTTTTAGCAGGTCTACTTGTTTTCTGGTTGGCTCTGTAGGGTGTGTTAGTTATATGATCAGGGACTGTGTCATCTTCATGAAGGGATAGTTTGACTTTTTCCTCTCCTTTTTGTATCCCTTTAATTCTCTTCCTTCACTGCTCTAGCTAGGACTGCAGATACTGTGTTGAATAAGAGTGAAGAGAGGAGGCCCTTGTCTGCTTGTGTCTGTTGAGGTTTCTGTCCTGAAGTCTGTGTGTTCTCTATTACACTTACTAATTATGTATGTTGAACCTTTCTTATATTTGCTGTGAAGCCAGCCCAACTTGGCAGTTAAGGATATAATCCTCTTAATGTGTTGTTGAATTTGGTTTGCAAATGTTATATTGAAGATTTTGGGCATTTATTTTCATCCAGGGAAATTGTTCTCTTTTGTTGTGTTCCTCTCTGGTTTTGGCTTCATAAGATGAGTTTGGTAGTAATCATTTCCTATGTTATAGAGCAGTTTGTGGAACGCTGGTGTTGGCTCTTTAATGATCTGGTAGAAGTTCGCATCGATCCTTCTGGAATACATGTATTATGTGTAAAACAATTTCTGAAGTAGCTTTATAGGAATATTATAGCATTTAAAAATGATTCTTTTGATGCCTGCCAGGTCTGTGGATTTAAACTTTCTTCCGTCTGTTGATCCTGAGACAGTCCTTCAGACAGGTAAAGTGAAAAACAAAACATTTATTAGTGGTAATAGTAGTATCTAGTAAAGTACTAGTCTGTTTAAAAAATTTATTCAGCATGTATGTGGTTAATATAGTAGAAATTTAAAGGGAACTTTTTCAAACTGCTTTGGGATTAACCTGATGGTGTTAGTTTAATATTTAAAAATTAGTAGTGACAAATTATCTCCTCCTTGAAATACTAGATTTATTTTCTGTTTTATAAAAAGGATTTTACAAAGTGTATTTAATTCTATCTCATTGGGTTGTTACGAGGATTATTGAATACTTGCTATGTGCTGTATTCTCTCAACAGTGTTTGAGATATATAATTCGTATTATTTTCTCTATTTTATACTTCAAGAAGTCAAGGCTTAGAGATGAAAAAATAACCTAAGTAAATCAGTTGTTCATAGTCAAGTAAGAAAACTTATCAGCACAGTTCAGAGGAGGTTCAAGTACAGAGGCCGTTGACAGAAGTTCGTGCTCATCTGTGTGGAACACTAAGCCCTCAGAAGTGGGCTGATGCCTCCTGCTCCATGCTGTGCACTGATGCCCCCTGCTCCATGCTGCGTGTGTGCTAGCCCCATGTCTGCAACAGAGAGCCATCAATTCTAGGAGAATGCATTAGAATCCTTTTAATATTTCTAATCTTCTCAAACATTAATAGCTTATCCTCCCAATCTTCCTGGGTTCAGGCACAGATCTAAGTTTTCTGTGTGATAACTCATTTATCCTTCAACACAATCTGGGAGGGAGCGCTTGTTTTACATCGTTTTCAGAAGGTGTGACACTGAAGCAGAAATAGTCACACTGGGCCTGGTGGCGCAGCTCCTAGGAGACAGGGTCAGGAAGGCAACAAGTTCAAGGTCTGCCTGATCCAGATGAGTTAAACGGAAGCTTGAGGGGCTTGTGGAGACCTCATCTCAGAGTCAGGAATGTAAAAAAAGGGCTGAAGGTGTGGCTCAGGAATGGCACACGTTCCCAGCAGGCACCGGGCTGCAGTCCTTCCTTGATGGCAGAGTTAATCATGCATATATGCAGCCAATAAACCCTCTAGTCAGAACCTGAGCCCAGGCAGTGAGGCAGCAGATTGTTTTCTGAAATAATCGTCCTAAGTGCTCTCTGGTAGAAATGCTAACATAACAGTTGTCAGGGTAGGAAAAAAAATGATGGATTCTGATATTAAAGATATATATGGGGCCGGGCGGTGGTGGCGCATGCCTTTAATCCCAGCACTCGGGAGGCAGAGGCAGGCGGATCTCTGTGAGTTCGAGGCCAGCCTGGGCTACCAAGTGAGTCCCAGGTAAAGGCGCAAAGCTACACAGAGAAACCCTGTCTCGAAAAACCAAAAAAAAAAAAAAAAAAAAAAAAAGATATATATGGAGCCCATGCAAACATTCAGATGTGTTTAAGTATTTGTACAGATTTTTAAAACAAATGTTTTTCCAATTATAAAATGCCAGGGATAATTTTTTTAAATCGGAATAGATTTGATATATTTATTCAGCTGTATTTCAGTTTTCAGTATGATATAGATTTTAGTTCCTTAGGGAGTAAAGGAATACTTACAATCTACACATTTTACATGCTTAGAAATTGCAATAGTTGGTCAGTAAAAGTACTATTTTATATGAATACTTAGTTCCATGAATTACTTGGCATTTTTGAAAGCATCTTATTTGAACTACAGATTTAAGAGCATTTCAATATTTCTGTATGTGCACTAAGTTTTGTTTTATGGACACTTAAAGTAGGCATTAAAAGTATATAATGGAGATTTAGAACAATCTAGTTTTTTTTTTTTTTTTTTTTAGAAATTGGTTATATCTGAAAGCCATAATAAAAATGCTTTCTATACTTTAAAAGCTATTTAAATTTAGGATACTTCCAAAATAAAGATGAGAAGAAGAAGATTTATAATGTCTACATTTTGATACCTGTGTAATAATCAGAATAGTTTTATCCTAGGCAAACAGTCTCTTTATTTTTAAAATTGTAAATATGCTCGTTATATATTCTTCTGTGTCAATTTCTCATGTATGGGTGGATTCCTGAGTGAGCTTGCTATAGGTAATTCTTCCACTACTATGGCATGTTCACTAGTCAGTCAGTATGTTATAGACGTTCCTGTAGAGATGATTCAGTATCATTTTGTACTGCTCATCAAACTTTTCTCCAGTTACTTTGATAATGCGTTTGCTTCACTGTCAACTTTTATTTTAAGTTCTGTGCTTGAGAGCGAGGATTTGAAGCGCTCTAACACATTTCGTGAATTAGTAATGGAAATTACAGAATATAATTTTGCTCTACAGAAAAAGAGGATTTATTGACACAATACCTTGAATAATTATTCCACCAAGAACCTGATAAATACAGATTTCCACATAGATTCTACATTTACTATGGTGTATAGGGTTTATATAGTTACACAATTGGCCATTTGTTTCAAATTTTTTCCTAGTATATATAAAATGATTATGTTCTCATCTGTATGTACATATGCAGTTTTCCTACTCATTGTGATATATAAAGTTTTAACTTTCATTTTATTCTGTATGAGAAGGCAGAGGAATAGGCTTTAAAATCAGGGACTATAATGTAGAAGATCGACGTGTAGGGATTGTATTTTTTTGTGGGCATTAATTACAAGTATCTTTCGTTTGTGAAGGGCATGAGTTGTTGTCTGAATTACAGCAGCGTCGGTTTAACGGCTCTGACGGAGGGGTCTCGTGGTCTCCTATGGACGACGAGCTGCTTGCGCAGCCACAGGTTATGAAGCTGTTGGACTCCCTCCGGGAGCAGTACACGCGCTACCAGGAAGTCTGCAGGCAGCGCAGTAAGCGCACGCAGTTAGAGGAGATCCAGCAGAAGGTGATGCAGGTAGGTGTCAGGCTGGGGCGCCTCATCCTTGGGAATCCAAGTGTCTTTTCCCTGATAATGTCTGTCATGTGACTGACCACACAGAGAACCTGACAGAATTCAAACTTGACTCATATCTTCATAGGGAGTGTCTGCATTAAAGTGACATTATTTCTACAGTGGTGGAATTGATCATTTAACTCACTAACAGAATGAACTTCAAAAACGCTAGTTTAAAACATAAATGGTCTCTATATTCATTTAATTCATAATACTTGAACATGGTTGTTTGATTCATTCTTAATTTCTAAAACTTACTAGACTGTTTACTATCACTGTAAAGTATTCTATCTTAGCAAAGTACTACAATGGTGTGGGTGATTCAAATATTACACTTATCCTTTTATGATATTAATAAAATGTTAAATGTACTTAATTATTAATTTTAGTTGCTTTTAGAATTGATTTTCATAAGAAATATGGCTGGAAATACCAAAAACAAGTGCTAGACATTTCTGTTCTTTAGATTATGGTGGATTCTTATCTACTAACAATTAAGAAAATTAATCTTTAAATAATTTTACTTAAAGGTACAAGCTGGAGGAGCTGGGAGAGCTGGCTCAGCAGTAAGAATGGAGCTCTCTCTCTCTTGCAGAGGATTTGCATTTAGGTGCCAGTCCCCACTTCAGGGGGCTCACAGTTCCTTGTAACTCTAGGTCCAGGAAATCTGATGCTGTGTGCTCTTCTGTCCTCCACTGGTACCTGTGCTTACTTACCTGTACATACCTATGCACAGACACACATGTACATGTAATTAAAAATAAAACAAACCTCTAAAAATAAGTAAATAAGTATAAGTACAAGCAGCTTGGAATGCTGCAGTGCAGTGTTGTTTTGAAATCTAGAGTCATTGGTTCTCGAGGTGAATATTAAGTGCTGCTTACGTGTCAGGCATGGTGCTGGATTTTATATGAGTTATAAAAGTAGGTTTCATTTTGTTGATAAACTTAAGGAGAAAAAGCATTAAGCATCACAAGTAAAGAGCCAGAGTACTTTAGGCATTTGCGGAGGGATCATTTCTGTGACTGCTATAGTCTGGGAGGGCCTAGTAGGTGGAAGTAGCAGTTGACTTTATTCTCTGAATGTGGACGATTTCACTGCACAGAAGAAAGGTTTATAGGAGACTTGGCATTTCGTTGTGGTTAGAGAATAGCATGATAAGGAAGGGGAGCTTGGGGTCTTGGGTTGCACTAGATTCCACAAAGCATCTTCTCAATAATTGAACCATGTATAGAACCACTTTTAGAAGGCTAGCGTTTGGAAAGAACCCAACACACTAATGGTAGTATATATTTACTAAACTAGACCTTACACAAGAGAGCCCAGCCTGCATTATAGTCCAGGACAGCAGCATCAGACAGAATAAACTCATAAGTGGTTTCATAACACCATGAGTAATAGGTTGGATACTTCCTGGAATGTGTGGCCCAAGGTAATTCTTTATCCAGTGTGGCACAGAGAAGCCAAAATGTTGGATGCCCTGCTGGAAACCATTAATGGACTTTCTTTGTAAAGGCTAAATATTTAGGCTTTATGGATCACATAGTGTTGTAATTACAGCTACATAGTCATCCTTTGTTGTAAAAAAGAATGTATAAGTATAGTATTTGTGTATGAATGTACATGGCCTATTTCCAGTAAAACTTGATTTTCAAAACAAGTGATGGGCCAGATTTGACCTGCAGGCTCCAGATTTGCTGACCTCTGACTAAATCAGTAAGATGTCCTAGGAAGAAAGATGTAAAAGAACAGTGTTGAATTCCAGGCAGAAAATTGAGGCTTTTATTTACTTTAATCCCATTTAAACCAAAAATGTCGGAGCATATGTTTAATTGTGACTATTTCTATGTACTCTTTAGTAAGTTAAAGCAGTCTACATTAAGCCCAAGTAAGCTTTAGCCTTTATGTTGGAATTATCTTTGACAACCACAGAGATGAAATGGCACAGTGGTTGGGACAACACTCAGATTCTGAACCCAGGTGGTCTGGATCTGACCTTTTCTGATTCTGAGCTGTTTGGCCTTGGAAGACTGTTCTATGCCCTAGTTTCTTCCTCCACAAACAGAACGGTTATGGCAGTCAAGACAGCAGCACGCCTATTTACATGAAGATTTAACTGATGATTTTAACCAGTTCTGGCTTTTGGGTTTATGCATAGGGATAAGATTCATCACCATGTATGCTTTGCTAAATAGATAAGAAAAAACAATAAGATTAACAAAGTAAATGTATTGACAAATGCATTTTTAAAACACCCAATTAAGAGATTAGAGAAGGGAGGTGATGGTGGTGGTGATGATGATGATGATTGTAGTAATGGTGATGATGTTTATGATGATGATGATGATAATATTTATAATGATGGTGATAAGGATGTGGATGATGGTATTTATAATGACTGTGATGATAGTTAACAGATCATTGTTATTTTAACAATGATAAATTTAACAGATAAATTTTATTGAGGCTCGGCTTTTTTCTTTTAAAGATAAGGTCTCACTTTGTAGCCTAGACAGGACTTGAAGTCGTGATTCTCCTGCCTCAAGCCTCAGCTTCCTAAATGCTGGGATTTTAGGCATGTGTGGCCATCCCCAGCTGTTTTCTTTATGAAGTTTGTAAATATGCTGCTGCACCAATGCTCAGCATGCAGTGTTGCCAAAGACCACAGCCTAAAGAAAGATCTAGTTTCCTTGCCAAAATGATTGTTTAAATGTAACTACAGTAACATGTGAATGATATGCTGAACACATGGCATATACCATAGTGTCTTACGGATTTGGGGGAAATCAGTTTATAGAAAGTTAATCGGAAACCTGCATGTCTGTTTAAGTCAGTGAAAACAGAATTGTCCACATGACTGTCATATCTTGGAGAACATGACGCATGAGCAATCAGTAGTGCTGATAAACGGTAGCGAAACAGTCATATGATAATTTTCGGTAACTCTGATAAACTGTGTGCTAAGTAGTCGTGTGATAATTTCTAGTCACTGTTTAGCTTGGCAGTGTCAGACTTCATGAGGAATGCAAATATTCTCCGTGCTGCTTCTGTGAAGTTAAAAATTCGATTTCGCATATTCCTGGGTGGCGACAGCACCACTTCACTGAAGAGGGCTGCGGTCTTCCCGTTACTCACCGCAGCCGGAGTTCTGCCAGTGCTGAAAGCCTGATTTTTGGAACAGTCCATGCACTTTTCTTCCATTCTAGAGAGACGCCGTAGGTACAAAGTAGGAACCCTCTCAGTTGCCTAAGTGCGCAGCTGGAGGCTGGGCTCTCAGTCCCTGTGCCCCTGCAGTCAGGTGCTTGGCATGCCCTCCTGCTGGGCTGACCTTGTGTGTGTCCTGATATTCCCTCAGGTACTCCAGCTATGAAAAAATGGTGGATTGCCATAGACATTTTTGGCTTGTGCAAATATTTGTCCTCATAGGTTTTAAGGACAAATCTCCAAGGTTAAACGTTGCATTTAAATGTATTAATAACTGTGTAAAGGGTCATATTGGTATAGATTGTGCACAGAACTGTTTTTGGAGTAAGTTAACATTCGTATCTGACTGAGTAAAGTGTGAATGAAAATTTTATAACACCATTTGTCAAGCCACCATCATTGATGCATTTAAATGGACTTGTTTATTGAGCATTGACCCCAACTTGAATAATTTTATTAGAAATTGTCATACAGTTACTGCATGTACACTATGAGGTTACATACTGAAGAAAACAGTTTCTGAGTGTGTTAAAGCTGTGTGTGTGTATTGGTCTTGTAATTGGGTTTCTGTGTCAATGAGATGTCTCCTTTATATGCATTTCATATTTAGAGTTATGGCATCTTCACGGTTCTACATTCGTAATCGCTTTTGTGTGCTGTACTAATACATCAGATGGACTAATGATGAAGAACAAAGGTTTGCTTTTTATAGTTATACAGGCTAGGAATTCCAGGGTCAAGAGGTGTGAGTCTGGTTGGGACCTTCATGCTGTGTAGAAGGCAAAAGGGCCAGAGTTTGAACGAGAAGGGGGACAGCACAGGAACACACGAGGTCAAGTTAGTCAGCAAGCCAAGAGCCTAACTGCACCCGTGTGAGTGAGTTCTGCCTCCACTCCCACTCGTTGAAAGGCTGTGTTCTTCACTTTAAATGTGGCGCACAGGACTGCTGTTGGGATGTGCCAGTCACTCCGTAAGACTAGCTGTGGTGGATTGGGTTTGCTACTCTTCACCTCTTTGCTTTCCTACCTGCCCTGCAGGCTAGCTCCTTCTGTCCTTTCAGGCTCTATGGTTTGTCTCTCATCTATATTTTCCATGAGGTTTATAGGTTTCTTAAGAAAGTACCTGTCTTAAGTGTTGTATCTACCACTAAAATATGGAACAGTAATGATTGTCTTATGTACACTGACTGGCATATCCTGAAAGTAACCCTGCACACTCTCTTCAAGGTAGGAAACAAAATCTTTCTAGTAGGAACAGAGCTGGAATTTCAACTCACACCTGTTCATGGCTCCTTTGTGAAAAAGATACTGGCTAGTGACGTGAAGCAGGTCCTCGAACCCTGCTCCTGCAGAGACAGCTCGGGTGAACGATTGAAGAAGGAACAGTGAGGATGTTGAGGAACAGACTTTTTAATTCTGAAATACACCTGCCAATAGCATTCACAATGAACTTGACAACAGAGTTCAGCCAAAAGAAAGCTCAATGGTTATTCCAGTGACTCAGCAGTAATGCTGTTTTATTGTTGAGCTTTGCATCCTAGTATTGAACTTTAAAGTAGAAGTTAATATAGTAAGGCAGTAGAATATAAGATAAAACCACAAAGAGAAATCATAGAAGATTCCATACCTGTAGTAAAAGACATTTCCAATGTATTCAGTCCCACTTATAAGGGTATGGAGAGCTTTCTTTTCTGATTGGCAGGAATTTTTCCACAATAGTTTGTGTATCTTGCAGATAACTGTGTTATTGGAAAACACAGTTAAAACTGATGATTCGGTGTTTCGGATAGAAGCAAATATTTTACAGGATTGTTTTATAATATATACCATTAGCCATTAGCATTTTTATCATTGAACAAGAAAATTCCAGTAGATGTTTTCCCAAGGAAATAAAAGAGAATTAGAAAAAATACTATATATGACTGCTGTGTAATTTTCATTATATAATCGCTTAGCATTGACTGTAAATGTCTTCATATGATCACCAACCCATATAACAACGGGATGTTGAACACAGATATAACAGTTATGTGAAGTGGTACATCTTCAGGTTAGTGGGTTGCTGGATGGGTGATTGATTGGACAGTTGGAGAAAGGCAGGCACAGAGGTAGCTTGCTTAAAAATGAGGTTTGTAAACTCATCTAAAATTATAGTGGTTGCCACATGGAAAATTACTACAGCATTATATTTTATGCTAAATGAAAACCACAGGTTAGAAATCACTTGGATCTTGGATCTTAAAGAGTTGGCTATAGCAAATACATCTAGAATGATACAGGAAAACGGCTTTCAAAATTAACAGAAGGAAATGCGTGTGATTTTCCTTGTGTTGTATGTTTATATAATTATAAAAAAGAATGCATAAACATTTAAAACTGAGTGTGTGTCAACCCTGTGTTAGCAGAATTGCACTGTGGGAGACAAGGCACTCTTCACTGTTGTGAGGCCATCCCAGCAAGGGATGGAGGCATGTGCTGTCACTTCGAGAGAACTGTCCAAAGTTTAGACACAGGTGTCACTGTCCCTGTAGTCTCAGATCCCCTGTTCTCACTTAGTGACAGGTGAAGCTTGATGGCACTCTTCCTGCTTAGCTTCTTTAGAATTCCTTAACAATGTCAGTGTCAGAAGAGTTAGCAAAACCTCCTGAGTGAGTCTGGCCCTTGCTGTATTCCCCGGAGCACCTGACAAAGATTGGAATATAACCAGCGTTACTTAGTAATGTCCTTCTACTAAAACACCCAGGGTCTGGTCTAAACTGTTAGTACCCAATGGAAGCTACAGCTTTGGGTATCATCAAGTTCAGTGTTTCAAGATGGACCTGACCCTGAGGGACATGGACTTTTGACACTAGAATGACTCTCCTATCGACCCCATATGGTTCTTAGCTCCTTCCACCTGCTGCTGGGACTCCACAGATGAGCACGGGTCCTGTCATCCTGGCAAACTGTAGATCCCCCAGTATTCTTTTGAACAGAGTTTGTGGAACTTCTCCCAAGAAGTCTGAATGTTTAGTTTATCCTACGAAGACACCTAGAGAGTATTCAAATAGTCTGATTCTGCAGTTTGTTACTACTGTGAGAAAGTAGTATTTTAACTTTGTCAATTAACTCTGTTTTTGGGCTTTTGCAAAAACATTCCACTGAGTCAAGACATGGATCTTTTGGTCCTAATTTTCAGTAATATATTGTTAGCTTGGACAAGCTACTTCTGAAACTCAATTTTCTAAAGTGCTAGCTAAAACCTTTGACTAATGTCATTCCTGATATCCTCCCAACTCTTATTTCCTGTAGTTCTGACTCGCTCACTCTAAGTAAAAGTTTAACCTTTAATAGAAGTACTCCAGTGTTGTTTGTCCCCCAGCCTGGCAGATGGTCGGGTAGCTTGAAAGCCAAGTGTTAGCTACAGTGTTCATTCTTCCAAATTCAGGTTTTTGGAAGTGATGTCCCACTATAAATACATAGTTCTAAATGAAACATTCACTACCAGTGAGATGCAGAGAATATGAATAATTTAAGGTATAAACCCTTGAGGAATTCAGGAATTTAGGGGAGGGAAACTAATCAGAATGAAATTTTCAGAGCATGTGGTTATCTTATCATCTCACCTTTCGTTTGTAGGTTGTGAACTGGCTTGAAGGGCCTGGATCTGAACAGCTGAGAGCGCAGTGGGGGATTGGTGACTCCATCAGGGCTTCCCAGGCCCTGCAACAAAAGCATGAGGAGATCGAAAGCCAGCACAGTGTGAGTCGCAGTGTGGCCTTCTGTGGGGGTCACCACTTCTTGGGTGGGACTGAATGCTCTGCATTGGGTTGCTCCAAATGTTGGTAGAGGACACAGAGTGCTTATGTTGAGTGCTTAGAGGTCTGAAAGTACATGTTGAGACTTAACACATCATCATTGATAGTTTGGTCTTAATTCCCATACAGTTCCATGATTTTGTTCTAGAAGCACAATTTGGATGACATTTAGTGTCAGGGAACAGGTGACCTGAAAATACAGAGCCTGGGACGGAGAGTTCTGGCTTTAGTTGTTGGTTCACCAAGTATTACTCACATAGAGTAACAGGATTCATTGTGACATCTTTACACGTGTATAGCAAATATTCTGATCATATTCACCTCCCTTTACAGCCCTCAGTTGTCCCCCATTTTCCCCATTCTCCTTCCTTTTCTAAGTGACACTCCTATTCTGTAGTCTTTGGAGTGAGGGGCCTTCCCTGCTCTACTGGGAACATACAATTGAACGCTGAGAGCCACACCACAGCCGCTGTGTTAAGTTCAACCATGGAGCTGAGGACATGCCATACAGAACATCTGTCCACTCTCTGTTGATTTAAAGATTTACTCCTGTATTTAGGAAGGTGACAATCAGGAAACCAGATATACATTGGGCAATCAATTAATCCCTAAACTGGTTGTAGATAATGATGGCTCAAAAGAATTTAAAATGTAAAACTTGGTAGGTGGAGGAGTCTAGTATTCCTTAGCTTCTGCTGTGGAGTAGTGAGCCTGGCCTCAATGAGAAAGTCATACCTGGCTTGTGAGGTGTGACTTTCTTGAATAAAATACTAAATATTAGAACCTTAAATATCATAAGTTATTATCAACCTCAAGCTGTGTTACTCATGTTGATTTTAAGTGGACTGAATATAAAATCGGAAAAATTGACGTTGACTCTGTTAATTTGCATCTCCTTAGACTGTCTTCAAAAACTGGCCGCAGTAATAATGTTGAACTCACACTCATAAGAAACTTAAAAATGAAATCCTGTAATTGAAAATGTGTGTGTTTTAATGCATTGCACAGCTTCCAACATGGCTCTCTCTTATATGGTTAAACAAAGTTGTAGTGGATGATTTATATTTAACATATAAGCCCTGTTCCTGGGGTTATAATCTTTTTAATTCTCTTGGTCCTTTTTAAATAATGTAATACTATCAAGTTGGTTTCGGGTTTTCTTTTATTTTTTGATAGGGATTTGGTTTGATAGAATTATGTGGATTATTCTGGAGTACAGTATTATAGTATAACTGGATTCTAAAATGTGTTCCCTTATTCTTTAGTTCTTGAAAACAATGTTTGTCATAGAGCATTCTAGACTTCATCTGAGCGGACTTACTGTGTAAGACTTTTAGTGAGGGTTTGTGATGTGAGGAACTTGAAGACAAGTATTTGTGTTTTGTCATTTTAAAAAGAAACCAAGAGAAACACCTGTAGGTAGAAAATGGATATATGCATACCATATGTAAGTTCACATTGGATTAAAAAGTACATTGTGTGTTCTGTGCAGTAAGGATAAATGTGCAGATTACACACATAGACATGCTTGTATAACATTGTCTTTAAATCACAAGGTCATTAAGTTACTTTAAAGAAGCAATGTGCTTATGAGATCTGTGTGCTTCAGGGTACTTTTGCATGTTGAAATGTATGTAGAACTTTTAAATTGGAAAGTCCACCAGCTAGTGGAGATATCTAAATGTAGATTGTTCCGACGCCACCACATTGTTTTCTAGATGCAGACTCTGTTGACATGCTTTACCAGCCCCCCAGTGGACATCTGTGTGCCTGAATGCAGTCCTTTCTATTTCTTCCATAGAGAAATCACTCAATTTAATGAAAAACTTAAGACAACATGTTCTTGTTTATGTCTTAATTCCTATGCTGTTAGTCCTTGGGGCCTTATGTAGGTAAATTGACATCTTCATTCATGGTCTTCAAGAAAAGAAACACTCGAGGGCCATTATAGATTCATTTCTTTAAGTCGTGTGGTATTTGGGATTCATTGTAAAACTGGCAGGTGTGGAAAGAGTGGGTGAGAGTCTGGATGAAATGGAGTCGGCCGCAGTTGATAACTGCTAAAGCTTGGTAGACATGGAGTTTCATTATTTTGTTCTCTTGCACTTTCATTTGATTTGAAAGTCTCCCTTGCAGGGTTTAGAAGGAGGATCGCACTGTTTTAGCCAATAGGTGGCGCTGCACTGTTGACTTGTGAATGGGTTGGTTGATAATAAATGTGCTAGCTTATGATATTTAAGGTTCTAATATTTGGTATTTTATTCAAGACTTTCTTAACTGGCTGTGGTATATAACACATACCTGTAATCCCAAGCAGAGGGTAGAGCATTCCCACAGTTTGAGGCCAATCTGGTCAACATAGCCTGTTATAGACTATCCAGGGCTACATACTTTGTGTCAAAACCAACCAACCAAAAACCCAAAAACAGAATTAAAACTCTATTTGTTCTTTGTAAATAAAATCCAACCATTGAGAGAATTTATTGGCATTTTTCAGGTCTTATGAAGTAATGGCAAAATTCTAGTACTGATAGATAACAAAGATAGAATTTGGAAAATTTTAATATACCATTTGCATTAAATTACTATGCTAAGCATTAAATTTCAAATTTTACATAAAAGCATAATGGAGAATTAAAACTAAAAACACAAATGTGTTTGGCTTTTAGGATTACTGTAAAGAAGAATGAGAGTCCTACCAACATGCAGTTCTTTGCAAGGGATTATGGGTTAGAAATTCATTCAGCTTTTTAATACAATAGGAAAAATAGTAAGAAGCAGGGTAATAGTTATAGGATTGATAACAAATTTTAAAATATTTTAATTGAAGTTGGGTGTGGTGTTGAATACTTGTAATCTTAGATCTTTAAGACGGGAGTTACAAGTTGGAAGCCAGTCCTTGTCTCAAAAACCACGAAAAACATAAAAAAAAGGAATTTTAGTTCAGTGAAAGTCTTTTAGATTTTGGTGGAGGCTAGTGTAGTAGAAAGCATAAGGTAAGATGTGGAATATAGTCTCTAAAGTCTTTGTGGTTTTCTGTCCGTGTCCTGGCCACAGAGGCCACATGTTCCTGCTCTGTGCCATCTAATAGGAATCAGCAACACAGGTTTGCTTAAGGAGTCAAGACATGTTTCATCTTGATATAGACGGTGTGGGAGTCACCTTGATAGCCTGACTTGGCAGTGTTTCATCTGCATCAGGATGCTGTTCCCTGGGAAAGCTAGCATAGATGCTCATCATCCCAGCTGTGCGCCTCTACCACACACACTGGTGGCTGGGGCCTGACTGTCTTAATATAAAGAAGACATTCAAGCTCATTGGCTGATTAAGTCTTAATTCAGGCCCTAACTTTTGTGCTTTTTGTATTTTCCTACACTTAATCATTTTCCATACAACAGAGTGCAAGCTAGATAGACTAGAGTGAATCAAAGGCAGTCTGCTTGCCTGAGGTCACATATGCCCCACGCCCCCTCTTTTCTAGGAAGAAACACTTGGATTCATTTTAAGTATGTATTATAGGTGAGCCAGGTCCTCCCTGACCCCCATCCCAGATAGGCTGATTTGTCTTTAGAACAACCTTAGTTATGTAAATGAGTAAAATTCCGAATCTCCAATCAATGTATTGATTTCTTGAAGCATACCAGTTCTTGTGTTATATTTACATCCCTGGCGAAGTTGCAGAACCTTATGTATATTATGAATTCATAAAGGAAAAAGAAAACACCTACGCAATGGTGATTCTTCATCATAGTGGGCATAACTTAAAGGGTGCTTTTAAAAACGTACACCCTGGAGCCCACCAAAGAGTTTAGACACTTTGATATGCACCAAGCCAACATGAGAAATTGTATTCGTGACTGCTAACACTTCAGCTTACTGCCTTGCTTAGAATCAGTGCAACTTCTTTTTCAGGAACTGGACACTTTTCTTCAAAATACTAACTAAATTTCCAAGTGCTATAAATAAGACAGTGAAGTTACTTCCTATTTAGGAACACGACAGCAATTTTTCTCCATGATATTTTTCACATTAAGACAGCCATTCTTGGGCTGGTGAGAAGGTGCCTGCTGTCAAGCCTGCTGACCTGAGTTTTGTCCTCTGTACCCACATGGTGGGAAGACAGAACCGACTCCAGAAGGTTGCCCCCACACACATGCTGCACGGTAGTGCCCACACATTCTCCCACATGCACACAACACACATACAGTGGAAATAAGATTTTGATAGCTATACTTTATCAGTCATTGTAATAACTCCATATTTTAAAAAATAGTTTAAAAACTAATTGTTTCTAAGATAATATAATAGTAAGGCAGTTTTTATCACCACCATTAATGGAACAGTAACTTGACCTCTACATTTCTGTCAGTTTAGACACGTAGGTCTTGGTTATATAGACTCTCATACATATTACTACTGTGTTCTTCTTAGTCATATTAACCAAAAATTATCTCCAGACATTGCCCAAATCATCCCATTACCCACTTAATTTAAGGTCAAATCTGCAATGTCTATTACATTTTGTATATTTATTCAATGTGTGTTAATTGAGCACATTGTTCTGAATTCTTGAGTTATAGTAAAGTCTTACCATACAGAATTTACATTCAAGTCAGGAGAGATGGGGAGTATAGAGCAATAGAGGTATGGTGTTGAAGAAAGGTCTCTCTAGGAGATGACATTTAGTACCCAAACCTTGAAATTTGGTGAAGGAGTAGTCCGAGCAAAGGACACGAGATGGAAAACGAGATGTGGGAAGCAGGCTGCTGCAGAAGCATGATGGAGGCAGGATGTTGTGTTGCCAGGGAACAGGGAGCAAAGTGTAGACAGAAGCTCCAGTGTTGTCCAGTGTTGAGGGGAAATCTACGGCAGGAGTGTGTGATGTCTTGAACGTGTGGAGAGGAACTCAAGCTACTACTGTACATGGTACTTGAAAGTTTGGGAGCATTTTTTTTTTTTTTGAGCATAGAGTTGTATGGAGCATAGAGTTAGAGATAATAAAAACAAAAGACTAGAAACTACTTAAATGAAGTCAGCAGGCATTTGATGAGATGTTAGTTCACAGGGTGGAGCCAGCAGTACTTGTTGGTGGAGGACTAAAGCGCTGGGAATTTTCTAGTGAATGTGACATGATTGGTTTCAGAAGAATGGAAGTAAAAAAATCTGATCAGGAGAACTTCAAAAGAGAATAGGAAGGGAGAGAAAATGAGTATTGAAAACTATAAAGGGAGATCCTGCGTGTGTGTGTGTGTGTGTGTGTGTGTGTGTGTGTGTGTGTGTGTGTGCGCGCGCGCATGCGCACATACATAAGCACATGTGTGATTTAACTTAAAACATTAAAATGTAATGAAAGTAATGATGATGAAAGTAATCCAGTTGAAAAAGCATTGATGGGCGATAGAGACAACATAACAGCAGAAGCAAAGCTGTGTCAGCAGCAGTGGACTGGCTACCGTGAGTAGCCAGTGGCTGCAGAACACTGGCTGCAGTGTGAGGCAGGGTGTAGGGCCCCAGAAGAGGGCAGACATTTTCAGGTAGGAAGATGAGAAACTTCCTGTTTCTCCCCAGTGAAGGAAGAAGTAAGATCTTAGGAGCTTTCTGTTCTTTCTCGTTCTTGCTTATAGTCAACAAGTGGGAGGTGAATGTAGGTACAGGTTGTGAAATCTGAAGAGATGCCATGAAAGGGAGAAGTGAGGGTCTGAGAAGGAAGTGGGAAGGCCAGTAAGATACACATAATGGGAAAGTGGAAAGTGGCGGAGGGGCACATCAGGAGAGTGCCAGGAGTGTGTGGGAAAAGAGGGGAGAATAATAACACAAAGAAATTTATTTTTGAAAATGACACTGCCGAATAAAACCTAATACTGTGTATGCTAATTTTTTAAATAATAAAAAAAAAATTGAGGTCTTTGATGAAAGCACAAAGCGGGAATTCCCACACGAATGGGAATGTCACAGCTCTGAAACCCTTTAGTACATACAAGTAATATATTAGTAATTATAAGCTGTTTTAAGTCTAAGAAGAGGCCAAATGTTTGGCTGCAAGTAATAAGGTTTTAAAAGAGAGCTAGAGAGGTAAGTCTTGAAAACACCAGTAGTCATGAGAATGGAGAAGAGTTGACCAGAGAGACACAGAAGCATTGCCAGGGTCCGATGATTAGTGACAACAGAAAAAAAAGAAAAATCTACCTACTTCCCGCCACTCGTTACCCAACTGTGTGGGGGGGGGGGGGGGCAAGCACTGAAAAATATGTCTGTATATTGCAGAAACATTGTGTGAGTGACTGTGATATTGGTGAGCTACATAATCTGTGGCACCTCATTGTAATATGTGTTCTGCTACTGACCCTCGTTGTATATATATATAGCACATGGCTATAGTACCATAGTGACGTGAGCTTGGTCTAGTCACAGTGGGCAGAGAAACCTGCTTGCAGGTTGTGAAATGTACGTCAGGTAGTCATAGTCTTTGACCTAGGAGAGAAGAAAGAACAAGAGGCTGCCAGGTTGTGGGCAGTAAACCTGTTAGTCATAGATTGGTGGACCCCATGGGACTGTAAGTGTGAGCCTGCTAAAGGAAGACAACTGGGGTCAGCCCTTGGAGGTCAGAGAACTGAATTCACGAAATTGAGGTTTAGGGAGCTGTGTAGTAGTAGGCAATCAGTTTTTGTGGTGTCTAAAATAGGTCAGTGAGATGAAGTGAGAATAGTATAGTTGAGAAAGGAAATCAGGGAGTCAAGGACACAAGTTCAAGAGTTGGTGTTTGTGTATGGTGTTGGTACATGGTGGAAACATCACTGAGAGAAAGCCAAGGCCTTTGCCACACCCACTGTGGATGGACTCGGGGGTGGGAGCTGGCAGGGAAAAATTCACCAGCATGTACTGAGAAGGTGGTGAGGTTTGGGGGAACAGACGAGAAACAGTGTGGGGATGATAATGAGGAGCCAGTCTACCTCTGAACTCACTCAAGGCTTGTGGGATGTTGAGTGACAAGGAAAGACTGCAGTGGGTTTGGGAAAACTTCAAGGCCCTGTGTTCCCTGAGTGTAAGCAGGCTTCACTGGAGCAGGGATTAAGGGGCCGTGTAGAAAGGCACAGGAGAGACTTCCAGGGAGCACAGTGGGAGGATTTGATGATAGGGAACTTATCCTCTGTTTAAATAATTCTGCCTTACAAACCTTTCTGTTTCTCTTCTTGAGAAATCATAAACAGTGCTCCAGGAGCTAATCTGACCTTCAGTTTGTAATGTCCCTGTTACAGGAGTGGTTTGCAGTGTATGTGGAGCTTAACCAGCAGATTGCAGCACTCTTGAACGCTGGGGACGAGGAAGATCTCGTGGAGTTGAAGTCTCTGCAGCAACAGCTTAGCGATGTTTGCTACCGACAGGCCAGTCAGCTAGAGTTCAGGCAAAATCTCCTACAGGCAGCTTTGGAATTTCATGGTGTGGCCCAAGATGTGAGTGCCTCTTCCGATTGCTTTCCATGTCTCCAAATGATGCAAACAATCTGTACAAAACTTTTGTAGGTTTGCATGCCCCATGGTTATTTTTCGGGGACAGTAATTTACTGGTGGAGGTAATGAGATAAAATTCTTCAGTTAAAAAAATTTTTTTATGATGCATGCAATTAAACCTATTGTCTAACTAAAGTGTTCTAAGCTATTACTTTACTTTGATGGTTTCTTGATAATATGTTTTATAACAGACAGAAATGGAGCCATCACTAACTTCTTGCATTCTGCTAACCTTCTTGGTGCATCTGTATGTCCCATCTTATAGATAACATGTATTCTGATTGCTCTTCCTTATCTTTTAACTGCATAGTCTCTTCAAGTGTATTTGTGATGACCTCATTAGATAAACCTCATTAATCATTGAAGACTTGAGATGCCGGTTACATCAGGGTTGTCTCTTTGTCCCTCTGCTTTAGTTATCTCAGCAGCTGGATGGCTTATTAGGTATGTTGTGCGTAGACGTAGCACCAGCTGATGGAGCATCGATTCAGCAAACTTTAAAACTGCTTGAAGAGAAGCTGAAAAGTGTTGGTAAGCAGATTTTAAAAATGCTGAAACCTACAGGTTCTTTGTAAAAAATATTACCATGGTTAGACAGTTAATTTATATACTGAACTAATTATCATTTGTAGGGAACACAGAAAACATAATATTGAAAGGTTTTATTCCCTTGAAGGGCTATAATTTATACTGAAACATTTATTTTCCATTGTGATTGGCCAGCCTGCCTTCCTCGGGCCTTTCGCCTTCCTGTTACTCAATCTAAAGAGCTATGTCTTGCATATTCCAGGGACAGATACTTGTCATGCACGCAGGAACTGTAATTAATTGTGACGTGTTTCATGATAAACCTTGCATGCCCTAGACTGTGTTTTATGCAATGATTTTTGTTGTTGCTATATTCTAACCACGAGAAAGAATAGTTGGTTTGATTCTGTGCATTGTATGTCCACACTGAGAGTTATCTTCAAGGGGAGTGTGGTCCAGTTTCATTAACCCCACTCTGTCACTTGGTATCAAGACCCTTTATATGGGTTTGCAGTAGCACACACAGTGCACTTCCTTAGTTGAAAGTCGGACTGAGAAGGGGGCACCTTACGAAAGGGGTGAATGGGGAAGATGCAGAACATGAAGGCGAGTTAGTAGAAAGTGATGATACATGACTGAACCAGAGTCATTCATTATGAAAACAACTTCAGGGAGTTAGTTTACAAAGCATTTTTGTATTGACATTTTACTTGCTTACATCCTTTGTTAAGTTAATGGATGGTATGCATAATACCTATTTAATATTTCATATGCCAAGTGTGATTTAAAGTATCACAAATTTTCCTGGACCATACTTTTCTTCAAAAGAGAACTCCTGTGCAAATGTCTAATTTGGAGTCCAGACATCTTGGATGGAACGTCCCATGGCATGTGAGCTGCAACGACCCTCCTCACAGTGGCCCTCCTCACAGTGGCCCTCCTCACAGTGGCCCTCCTCCTCACAGTGGCCCCCCTCCTCACAGTGGCCCTCCTCCTCACAGTGGCCCTCCTCCTCACAGTGGCCCCCCTCCTCACAGTGGCCCTCCTCCTCACAGTGGCCCTCCTCACAGTGGCCCTCCTCACAGTGGCCCTCCTCCTCACAGTGGCCCTCCTCCTCACAGTGGCCCTCCTCCTCACAGTGGCCCTCCTCCTCACAGTGGCCCTCCTCCTCACAGTGGCCCTCCTCCTCACAGTGGCCCTCCTCACAGTGGCCCTCCTCCTCACAGTGGCCCTCCTCCTCACAGTGGCCCTCCTCCTCACAGTGGCCCTCCTCCTCACAGTGGCCCTCCTCCTCACAGTGGCCCTCCTCCTCACAGTGGCCCTCCTCCTCACAGTGGCCCTCCTCCTCACAGTGGCCCTCCTCCTCACAGTGGCCCTCCTCCTCACAGTGGCCCTCCTCCTCACAGTGGCCCTCCTCCTCACAGTGGCCCTCCTCACAGTGGCCCCCCTCCTCACAGTGGCCCTCCTCACAGTGGCCCTCCTCACAGTGGCCCTCCTCCTCACAGTGGCCCTCCTCACAGTGGCCCTCCTCCTCACAGTGGCCCTCCTCCTCACAGTGGCCCTCCTCACAGTGGCCCTCCTCACAGTGGCCCTCCTCACAGTGGCCCTCCTCCTCACAGTGGCCCTCCTCACAGTGGCCCTCCTCACAGTGGCCCTCCTCCTCACAGTGGCCCTCCTCCTCACAGTGGCCCTCCCTCCTCACAGTGGCCCTCCTCCTCACAGTGGCCCTCCTCCTCACAGTGGCCCTCCTCACAGTGGCCCTCCTCCTCACAGTGGCCCTCCTCCTCACAGTGGCCTTCCTCCTCACAGTGGCCCTCCTCCTCACAGTGGCCCTCCTCCTCACAGTGTTCATCCTTTTACTTTGATTATACATTGTGAGCATTTTTGAAATCTTGCAAATCGTATGCATCTTTTTAAAAAATGTGCATCATTTCCCTAAAAATTGGAACACAAAAGGGAAAAATAGGAAATCATATTTGTTGAAATAGAGATCCCTATACTTTCAGTTTTTAAGAGTCGTCATCTATGCAGATTAGTGTTTCAAAGCTTCCCTTTGTGGAAAATTTGTCAACAGAAGAAAGCGTTCCGCTTTGAGCCCCATTTAAAGGTTCTGTTGCTTGAGGTAGTGAGAGGTCTGCGTCCTGGCATGTCAATATCTAAAGCATCTACATTGGCACCCGTGTCTAGCTACTGAAGAGGACATACCCTTGTTATGAGATTCAATCTGGTGTCATTTGTTTTAGATGTGGGATTGCAAGGCTTACGAGAAAAAGGTCAAGGTCTCCTGGATCAGATCTCCAATCAGGCTTCCTGGGCCTACGGAAAGGATGTAACTATTGAAAATAAAGAAAACGTGGACCACATACAAGGAGTGATGGAAGATATGCAGCTGAGAAAACAAAGGCAAAGTTTGAATGTTAATGTTAAATTCACCAAGATAGAATGCTACTAAGATAGAAGTTAAATACTCTATGTTTTGCATACAAAATCAAATCCCTTACTTGTTATATGCTACAGGTAGAGTAGGTTTGGGGTGAATATAATAATTATTATATATAATTGTTCTGACAACTAATGCCGATTCATTTGATGAAGAGACACCTTTCTCCCTTTTGCCTGGTTGTAGAGATTTTAGTTATACTCAGATATTCACACTAAAAGAAGACTGTTTTGAAAAGTGTGCTTTTCTGTTTTCCGTTAGAATTCTGTTAAACCTTACCCTGTTGTCTCTTCGTCTCATCTCTTATGTCACATATCCATTGTTGTGTTGGTTGTAGGATTAGACAACGGGCTGGCATTGATTTTTTTTTTTTTGCACTTGATAGACTAACAGGAACTTAAGGCTTTTTAGAGACTCAGTCTATAATGACAACCTGAAAGTGTTAGAAAGTACAAGATTAAAATTGCAGAGGCAAGAATGGGCACAGATGCGTACTCTGGCATGGTTGTATGGAATTTTGCGCACTTGGAAACTTAAGTCATGAGGAGAATTTCCCAGACATTTCCACTCTACACCATGAAGAGTCACAAGGCAGGAATCCCTGTTGCATCCTGTCCTGAACCTGCAGTGTCCTTACGGCAGGGTGTGATAGCTCTGTCAGCTTCTAGGGTGAGTCCTCATCTGGGCTCTGGCTTCTTACTCTAGCAATATTTGTTCTCCACCCTGGTTCTAGTTCCTCCTGTGGATGCTTAGCTCCCTCCAGTATGAAGTATAGTAAGTGATTGTACACGTAGAATTGTCACAGAAGGAGAGCGACGTGCTCTTCACCCACTGTCCTCCCAGCTCAGTCGTTTGCAGGTCTAACCTGTGCTCCTTACTTCCTCTAGGTTATTTTCTATCCCTCTTTGTTCTCCTTTCTGCCCTCCCTGCCTCTCTGCTTGTTCCAGTGTCAGTAACTTCTAATCTCTTTGAAAGTCAGTGACAACTGTGTCTTCCTTCAAAACACCCTCCTGGCTCTGTCCCTCCTGGTTTCCCTCTCTATTGCTAAAGTTGTGGCTTCCAGGCCGTGTGCTGTCACTCCCCTCTCTGAGTGTTCTCCCTGAGTCCGCCCTGCATGCTCATGTTTTCCTAGTTACCAAGACCTCCCTGACTTGGGTTGCCTCTGGAGGACCTCTAGCTAGATGTGCCACATTCTCCTCCAACTTACTGTGCCTGGATCAGATTCATCTTCTCCTAAACTTTACTCTCTCTTTCTTAGTTCAAGTTGCTGTGAGCTACCAAATTTAGAATTTATCTCTAAATTTAAATTTATCTCAGATGCCCAAGATTTCCTTTTTTCTACCTTGGGTCTTGCTGCTCATCAGGCTGTTGCAGACAAGAATAATCTACACAAGTACAAGGATTGGATGAAGCCTTTGACTCTTGTTTCTATTATTAGAATACTGAGGGTTTTCACACCTTATTTTTGTCACCCATCACTATTACTGAGTCCTACCCTAACATTCCACGCGTGTTTAAAGCCAAGTCAAGAGTGCGTTTTCATCCTTGAAAATGAAGCAGGCATCAAAACAGAACATTTTTGGCAATGAAATCTGGTCAGCATTTACTAAACAGTGTTTGTGGGGTGGGGGGGGGGGGGGCAGTCCTCACTTCAGATTATAAAAACGACAGCCAGATATCAGCCTCTGCAGCAGTAAAGTAAGACGGAATATTTCAGAGTGTTTCAACTGTTTTCTTAAAGAGACTTCCTCCATTGTCAGAGATCTCAAGGAGCTTCCTCATTACTCATCCGGAAGCAATTCTTCACATATTTGATGAACTTGGCTCCACTTTGGGAAGAGAACCCTTCTTTTCTGTACTTGCTTATATTCTTGCCTTAATGACGTCTACGGAACTAGGTCGTTTGGGTGTTTTTGTTTTGTTTTGTTTTTCCTCTTCTTTGTGTTTGTGTGTTTGGTTGGTTGGTGGTCGGTTGGCTTTCTTTGGATTCCTGGCCTCTTGATCTTGGTGTTGATGGTTTTGTCTTTTCCATTCTGGTTTGGTTCTTTTGCATTTTTGGCTGGAGGAGCTCATACAGATCCCTTCACTGCAGCTGCCTCTTCAGTTTACTTCTCCTCATCAAGCTTTACCTTTTTCTGTGGAACCTTGTTACCACTTCCAGGGGCAGATCCCTTCCCAGCCATCCTGCTCATCTCCATCCTCTGACTGGGTATCTTGCTCCGTGCTACTAGGTGCTGTCCACTCATGTGCACAGGCCCTGAATCACGCAGGAACCGGAAGACCACAGGTGGCGTCCTTCGAAGCACCCAGCTGATGGGTGTGTAAATCTTTTCATAGTTGCCACTGTCACTGTGACCCGACTGCCTTGTGATTCATCGCTTCTGCTTCAGCCACATGAAATTCATCTTTAGCCTCCGTGTCTAAACTGATTCATCATGATAACTGGTGGTCATTTCCACCGTTATTCATCTTAAAGTAATAATCTTTGTCAGCCTTTGGTTCACAACCAAAAGGATAGTTGTGGGGCCTTGAAGGTCTCATATCATCATGTCTTCCATGGGATGGAGGCTTGAATTTCGGTGAGAGAAGCTGGCCAGACATGACTGACTGTGGACTACTCTCCTCAGGACAGATGTGCAGGGTGGAATTGCACCAGGCCCATCTTTTGAGATGGAGTTGTATCCTTAGGACAGTGTAGGAGAACACCTTCCGCTCTGCATTCTTAGCATCCTGTAACTTCCCACAGGATTGCAGTTGCTTTTAGTTTCTTAAATAGCTTGTGGTTTTCATTCATCCATGACTTCTTTCTTTGTTCCTTGCTTTCTGTCTGGTGGATGCTCATGCTAGGCTGTGAGTCACTTGTTCCTCTCCACCCCCGCAAAATGTTTCACGTGGATATGTAACAGTTTTTACCATTTTACCAACTAAAATTCATTTCCCATAAACATTTTCTAATCTGACTCCTGTGTGTTTAGATGGTATAATTTAAACTGAGCCAAACTGTCTTGTTTTCCCAATGACACACAGTATGTATTGAGCTTAATATGGCAATCATCTTCATCATTAAGGTGTTTTACGTATTTTGCTTTAGATCTGAGAAATAATTATAATCATCTTCATCATTAAGGTGTTTTACGTATTTTGCTTTAGATCTGAGAAATAATTATTATTATTTCTCTTCTGTCACTTGTAGACTTACTTTAAATAAGCTGCATTGTAACATTAGGCTGTGACTGAGAAATCTGTATTTTAAAGTAGCCTGTTAGAAGCTGCTTCTGTGTTATCATTAGAGTTTCTTCAGGAACACTGACTCTAGAGCCTGGGGCCTAGTGGATTACCTGTTTCTCTTATGTGGGACTTTACAAGAGTCCAATTCCTGCCTCTCATACATGGAACTGCATGGGGACGAAGGAAATGGATCATATCTTAGTTATACCAAGACACTGTTTGTATATTATCTATGCAGAGCACAGTGAGATTAAAGCATGTTCTGCATTGTGTTTGTCTTAACTCAAAAGATATGTGGGTTATTTTTTCTTAAAGGGTATAGGTATACAGTTTTATTCAAAACTTAGTATTATCCTAGATAATATAATTTGACAAAATGTATTACATTTTCACGGAGCATCATCCTCTGAACTTTTATACTTTTATCTTTGAAGCTTGTTTAATAAAGTTGGTGATAGAGGTTTCTTTGGTTTTTGGTGGACCATTGAGTTTATGCTTTGCTTCAATATTTTGCAGAATCCATGCTATCCTCAAGAGGGTTTGTCATTCAGTATCATTCCAGGTATTTTGAGGTCTTGACGTAACATAGATAATAGATTAGATATTCATAAACTTCTGACAGTCAGTACAAAATAGTTGCAGTGCCATAGCATAGGACTAAGTTTCTTAGTGTACTGTTAGACATGCGTGTCAGATGACGATGCTGCTGCTCACAGAGGCCAGAATACTAAGCCGAGTTTGTGTTTGGTTTATTAGATGTGAGGACATGGTAGACGTGCGGAGGCTGAAGATGCTTCAGATGGTGCAGTTGTTTAAATGTGAAGAAGATGCTTCCCAGGTAAGGCCTGGTCAACCCCATAGGAAGTTAGCTTAGATTAAGTTCGTTGTGGGCTAATTGAGGAGGTTAAGTTCTCTTAACTACGGACAAAGTGGACTCCTGTGGTGCTAAGAAAGCCAGTTTATTACGTCTAGTCCTTCCGTCTCCTGTAGAGAATAAAGCTTGGTATTTCAGCTCGTTTACTGATCTCGTTACACTCACCCTGTCAGTGAAATCCTCTGTTGAACCTGAGACTGGGAATATTTATTAATTATTATTGTTGACGCGGTGTTAGTTCTGTCCTGGAATGAAGGCTGGTGAAGAACATTGCTTTCTATTCCACAAGGGAATTCTCAGTGCTGCATAAGCAACTTGATGTAATCATGTATTTAGTATCAGAAAATCTTGAAGGACAGAGATAAGTTATGATTTTAAGTCATAATGCACATCTGTAATGAGATGCCAGCAGAACTGTATTACAGGGACCCATTGCCCTATATCATGTGATACTAGCTGTACACTGAGCACATCTCCTCAGTAGGTCCTGCCTTGACATTTGAGACAGCAGTTTGAGAATCCAGAGAGATCATTAGTTCGTAGAGCATGGCATCAGATGAATGCTAAAACTGGGGTTATGATTAAAGAGCTAACTAATCACACAGAGGTCATTTTTGCACAGAGCTGGTGTTTCACCACAAGGAAAGAATTATGAGTCCAGTTTTATTCTGTGTGTTCCTTAGGCAGTAGAGTGGTTAAGTGAACTTCTGGATGCCCTGCTGAAGACCCACATCAGATTGGGCGATGATGCTCAGGAAACGAAGGTGTTACTGGAAAAACATCGAAAATTCGTTGATGTTGCACAGGTACAGACCTTGTCTTCTTTTCTTCAAGGACAGTGTGTGAATGACTTTCTGCAGATGATGGTGTAACATAACCTTCCAAGTCTAAGAAGGTCAGTTCTGTTACACAGAGCTGAGAAAATGCTAGCTGGTGTACCAAGACTGGGCCACGGGAACTCAAGAGGGTTTGGCTCCCAAGGGTAGGGTCTCTGGGCTCCTCTGCTTTGTATTATATCCTGTGCCATTTAGACTATCAGGCAGTTGACAGAATTACTGTGAGGTTCTTGTTAGTGACAGCAGGTTAGAAGCGGCATTCCCAGTGTGTCACTAGAATTGGCATAGTGATACAGAGTTGTTCTGGGATTGAGAGTATGTTTGTGTATTTTCCCTGATGCAGAATTCACACTGTCATACTTTACTTTCCTATATGTAGTGTAGGAAAGCTCACTTCACCTCTTCTCTGTGGTAATCAGAGAGCTGACACTCTTTTTGGCCAGCAGAATTTAGCCGGCTGAAATGGCGAGCACAGAATAAGGACAGAAGTTTAAAGAAACAACCTTGGGAGCTAACTCGACATGTTGCTGCATTTGTTAATTGTGTTTGCAGGTTGCTGACAGGCCACTGGATCCGTGTGGTACAGATGGACGGTGGTGCCACACAGTCTGCCTACCTCCTTCCTTCCGAATTGCTTGTGTTCTAACTCGCTGGGTTTCCTCCCTAGAGTACTTACGACTATGGCAGACAGCTGCTGCAGGCCACGGTCGTTCTCTGCCAGTCTTTGCGCTGTACTTCCCGGTCCTCAGGGGACACACTTCCTCGACTGAACAGAGTGTGGAAGCAGTTCACAGTAGCGTCTGAAGAGAGGGTGCATAGGTTGGAAATGGCTATTGCCTTTCACTCAAATGCTGAAAAGGTAGGCGGAATCTTAAACAGAATTATTTTGAGATTTTATATATTTTTTTTTTATGTGTGTGTGTGTGTTTGCCTGAATTTAAGTCTGTGCACCACATGCAGTGCAGTGCAGTGCCTGCAGAGGCCAGAAGAGGGTGTCAGATCCCCTGGGACTGCAGCTGCGGACGGTTTTGCATCATCATGTGGGTGCTAGAAATTGAGCCCAAGTCCTTTGGAAAAGTAGCCAGTGTTCTTAACCACTGAGACCTCTCCAGCCTCATTGTATTCTCTTTTAAAGTCTAAATAACAACAACAACAAAATGTTTCCTTGATGGTATTCATTGCAAATGTTTAAAATGTTAGTTGGAATAATGTAATTATATCATTAATCTATGTGTTACTGTTCATGTTCATTTTGTTGCTAAGGTTCATTGAATATGTATTATCTCAAAAATGTCTACACTAAGTCTCCTGAGTTGACTCCGCGCTAGAGTGCTTGGCCAGGGTATCCAGAGCTACAGGGGTCCTGGCTTCCTCTCTCCTTGCCCCTCCCAGGCCAGTCAAGGTCCAGGTCTCTCTCTGCACTCTGCTGTCACCTTGTCAGGCTCTTTCATTGGGCCAAGAAAGGAAACTATTTTGGAACTATGTAGTAATTGTCAGAAAGTTTTTAAAAGTTACTTGGTGATTTCATAATTCAGGGTAAAGGCTAGCCAAGTAAACTAATGAAACTTAAAAACAAAACGTTTGTTCCATGATTGTTTTTAAAGATTCATTCTAGAATTTATTTCTCCATAGTTTTATGTCATTAGTTAGAGAAGCCAATAATAAAAATAGTCGTGTTATTTGGGCAAATTTTTGTCAGAACCCATTTCTCTTCACAGTGGTGATGCTGAGTACATTCTCATTCAAGAAGGAAGTTTTATTAGGTAGTTAATTCTGTGTTGATCTCTTACAGTGGGAGTTTATATGCGGATTTAAAATAATGCAGTAATATGTGGAAAGCCTAAGTTATAGCCTCACCTCAGGATGAACAAATGTGACAGGGAGCCTCAAGAATTTGGAGCAAACAGATATGATATGACAGGGTACCTCAGGAACTGAGGGGTTTCATATTTGAAGCACACTGTTGAAAGTGATGTAGCTGATTCTCTCACCTGCTCGCTGAACTGTGCAGATTGGTGTTTTTGTTAAAATAGGCCCAATGACATTGAGTATGTTGGTCCATACCTATGTGTTGGTCCATACCTATAGTCACAGTACTCCAGAAACTGAAGCAGGAAGATCCCGAGTTCAAGGGTAGGCTGAGCAAGAGAGGCCCTAGTCAGACAATAGACAGACAAAGGCCTAATGAGGATGGAAAAAGTATAGAAGATTGCTGTGGGATGTCACTCTGTATGCTGTGAATGTGTCGCTCTGATTGGTTGATAAATAAAAAGCTGATTGGCCAGTAGTCAGGCAGGAAGTATAGGTGGGACAAACAGACAAGGAAAATTCTGAAAAAAAAAAAAAAAAGGCTGAGTCAGGAAATGCCAGCCTGCCATCTAGGGAGCAACATGTTATGGCACACAGGTAAAGCCATGGAGCATGTGACAACATATAGATTAACAAAAATGGGCTGAGTTTAAGTGTAAGAGTTAGTCAATGGTAGGCTGAGCTAATGGTCAAGAAATTTTAATTAATATAAGTTTTTAAATGATTATTTTATAAGTGGCTGTGGGGTCCATGGGGCTAGACAGGACCAGAAAAAACTTCAGCTACCGAAGATGGCTTGACTTGTTTATCTGCTGATGATTTCAGTGAGCATTTTCCATTATTATAAGCTATGCTACTCATCCAGAAAAAGTGTAGACCTTAAATGTTGTGCTTAATGGGCTTGTACAGGATGAGTGTGCCAGTGCAGAGCCTGAAGCCCCACCCCATCTTGGGGCCCAGTACCCTGCCTCTATCAAAAGAGAATCATTGAGTTTTCTAACCCAGAGATGACATTTTAGGAGACTATTTTTAAATGTGAGAGTATTTTTAAATTGAGAATTCTTTAAAAGGTATATAAAAATACATATAGTTACAAGATTTTAAAATAGAAAGTTGGTGTTTTTGTTTTGGGTTTTTTTGTTTGTTTGTTTATTTTTCATCCCTGGCCTTCTTCTTGCTTATAATGGCCCATTTTATTGAGCAAACTTAAATAAAGCTCTTTGTTGTCGTGTACTATTTCTCCTCTTAAGGTAAACATGAGCTCGACTATGACTGTAAGCAAATTGTACAACATAATAACTGAAAAATATCCTAATTTGAATCTAAATCTTGAGTTTTTAAATAAAAAAAGAGAATGAAATGTCTTTGAAATAGTAGAACTTTCTATGTTAGAGTTATAACCAGCGAAATCAGCAGATCTGCATGTCAGTTACGTTTGCACACACTATGTTGGTTGTGGTTTTACAGTTTCTTTGAGTTTTGAAGTCTATAAACTCCTTAAGAACAGAATCTGACATTCACACTCTGCTTTGCTAAGTAAACATCTCATTAAATGTTTAGTAAATGGTTGTCTAATAAGCTAGACACTATTTCTTAAGCATGAGTTCTATTCATTTTCCAAATAGCATTCCGTTATTTCTTTCCTAGAAATCACCAGAGATTTTTTTTGTACTCCTGATTATATATTGTTACCAGAGATATGCTTCATTTGTGATGAGAATTTCTTCACCAGCCATAGCTCAGTCTCGTGTAGTTCATGCTCACGGCAGGACACTAAGCATGGAACCAGAACACCTTCTTCAACTTACAGAGGTCAAGTGGGATTGATTCCCTTTACCGTTTTGATTGGTACTACCCCTTTTGTTTACTACAGATTTTGCAAGACTGTCCAGAAGAGCCTGAAGCAATTAATGATGAGGAGCAGTTTGAGGAAATTGAAGCCGTTGGGAAATCACTTTTGGATAGACTCACTGTCCCGGTGGTTTACCCCGATGGGTATGGTGCATGTTCTTATCATCTAAAAGTTAAATCATTCAGAGAAGAAAATCTGTTCTTCAGAAGGCTAAGCACTTTCATTTTGGTCCACATTTTCAACTCCTACAATAAATCAGTTTAACTTGAAAGAAGTTCAAATCCGGCTGTTGGCAGCAGTGATAGTTGGTGTTTGCTGATGTTCTTGACAACTTGTAGATGGACGATTGCAGATTAGTTTGAGACGTGGACTTCTAGCTTGAGCTGTGACAATGGGGAGTTGTGAGATTTTCGTCCTCATTCAGAATGGGGAGGGTCAGGAAGGGACTGAGATTTATGAGCTCCTAAGATACACCAATCAAGCAGCTTCATTGCTTAGACCAGATAGATCCAGGCCAGCGTGATTATTTGTGACTTAGAACTGAAGGAACGGAGACTCCAATTTAGTAAGAGGCCCAGCATTTTATAGTTTCCAGGTGTTGGAGATAGTCTCAGGTCTATCCGGCTCCAGACCTGTCTTCTTCTCTTGGGCCCTAAGGCATCCGAGACTTGTCGTATGGAAGGTCATCAGACCCTGATCTGCACCTTCTTTTCTATTTCCAATGTGGGACAACCTGATGTCAAAATCAACAAGCCAGGGAAAAAATCAAGAGTTTTTGGATTGCTGGAGATCTAGACCTTGTCACTGAGTCACTGAGAGGTAGTGCAAAGGAAGTTAATTCAAACAATAGAGAAGCCAAGCCATCAAATAGAAGCAAAGTATCCTTGCTTTGTGCTCACATGATGGAGGAGAATACCAAGGCTGGAGCCTAGTGTCTCCGCTCCTTTTGTTACTTCCTGGCAGTAACTGCGGCTCTCTGTGTTTTGGTTCCCACACTTGATAACAGGGTGGAGTAATTGTCCTTTTTCAGATCAAGGGTGGGACAGGGGGCATCTTGGAGCCAATATATAGAAAGAACTTAGATATGTGACACAAAGGACACACTGCAGTGTCACAAACTTCTAGTGAGTGTTTAGAATTCATATTGAAAAAAAAAATTAACAGTTTTTTCCCTTGGAAGAACATTACTCATAGTCTATACTGAGAAAAATCTCTAAGGATATCTGGATTTGAACTTTAAAAAGTGACTTAATGTCATATGATTTATCTGCAGCAAAAGAGAACAATCCCAGCAGACTGGGTTCCAGGTGCAAGTGAACAAGTTTCTGCTCATCGGCTATATCATATTTTATGATAACATTTGCTTTTATGCACTTGTTATACAGTTAAATGAATTTGTATTAACCTGTGTATTTTCCGTGTGTTCTGATTTTAGAACTGAACAATATTTTGGGAGTCCAAGTGACATGGCTTCTACTGCAGAACACATCAGAGACAGAATGAAACTGGTCAGTCTCAAAAGGCAGCAGCTGAGACATCCCGAAATGGTGACCTCAGAAAGCTAATGTCCCCAGCTCCCACAGATCTGCAGGTCATATGCCCACACATCTTTGCTGTTGGCATACTGCTGTGTTAGCCACAGCTCACTAAGATGAATTTCCCAGCAGGATAAGCCTCCTTTCTTCCCACAACACGTCTCTAAATGCTAACACCTCTCAGCTACCGAGGCATAATCACGTAACATGCTTTGATGCTATAGACTCCAGGTATCTTAGAAGAAGGAACTGTAAACACTGCGCTGAGTCCATGCTTTCACACTTGACCTGACTTGTCAGTTTGTAGATGAACAACTGATAATAAGCTTCTGAATGGTGCTAATCGGAGTTTAGGAATTCTCTGTAAAAACATGATTGCCCTTCCTCCCCAGGTGATGTAGAATATTTAGACCATAGTTAGACTGTTAGTGGATAGTGGTGTCCTCAAAATTTTACTTTATAATTCTTCAAATTTGATTATTTTTTATTGTCTATATGAAGAAAACCCTTCAGATCTTTGATATATCATATTAATTGAAAGACATTTTCCTATTGTATTCATAATGTATTAAAAGTTGTCTGTGCTTAATAAAAGTCTTCTCTAATTTGCTAGTTACATCCTAATTCTAAACACGAGTGCCTTACTAAAAGGGCATTCTTAGGGTTGTGAGGATGGGCTAATCATTTTGTTTTAATGGTGGCTGCATGTATTTTAGGCAGGAATTTCATATGTATGCATGTGTATATAATAAAAAATAAGCATGTTTATTGTGAAAAAATTAGACCTTTAAGAACATAATAATAGAAGACTATTTTTAATTTTTCTCTTAAAAAATGCTGTCCAAATTGTTAACTACCCTAAAGATGCCTGTCTTTGGGGAAGGAGGGCTGAGGACGAAGGTATGCTTAACTATTTCAATGTAATCTTTTATATCACAGTAATTACTCTGGAACTAAAGCAGAAATTGTTAATAATATTTAATATCTCATGATACTAGAGTCAAAAATCATCCTGAAGAAGTCTAGTCACAAAAACTGTACAGATCTTTAGAAATAAAATTTGTCATAAAATGGTAATGCTTTTATGTTTGTATTAAGTTATAAAATGTATATAATTTAACATTGTTAATTTTTATTTTAGAAGATTTTTTTAAGGTGAAAAAAACAACTGGATTTATGATTAGTACAGAATTATGCAAAGAATTGTATGCTGGTTTATTTTTGCGGTCTGTAGAGATGCTCACATACCCTCCTATGCTAAAGCCAGTTTTCTCCAGCCTCTTCTTCTCTGCCAGCCTTGAAGTCCATGTTCCTTGCCCATCCCTCCTCATCACTCCTTCTGCAGAACCTTTCAGTATCTATTACACCTCACTCTGCAGGAAGCTGTTCTTCTGAAAATCAACCTTAGTCTTCCAGTTACCAAATTGAATGTTTGTGCTCTCTGTTACTTCACCCCCCTTTCTCTCCATTTCTAGCCTCTCCCCCAAATCTGTTTCTTAAAGATGATATCTTCTGCTGTATCTGAGCGTAGTTCTAAACTCATTTAAAACAGGTCTGTTGTACATGCGCACTCTGCTGCTGTCCTCAGCTCTGGGTCATTAGGCACCCCATCCCCATCCTGCATTACATGTCTGATCTAAAATGCACAGCTTTCAGCTGCCTCCCTGCCCTTTCCACCTAAATGAAGGACATGTCGTACTTGCCTTTTCTTCCTGGAGTAGTTTTGATTAACGGTGCCACAATGTCCAGGGAAAAACTCAACTGCTCCCCCTGTCTCACACTGCCACTGCCTCTGAGACCATCCAGAAGTTCTTTCTATACTTGATAACCCTCCTTCAGGGCTTGCCTCCTGTGAGGAAGGAGCTCCTGTGACTCTCCAGTCTTTATGACGGTGCTAACCCTTTCCTGTTTTCATAAAGTCCTTCATGGGGCTGACTGTTGCCCCACATGTCTTGTGCCTAGACTCTTCCTGAGTGTCACATGCTCAGTCCTCCACCTGTGTCCCCTTGTAAGCATTAGACATAATCCCCTGTGCTCTGGGGTGTATTTAAACAGTGTCATGTTCTAGAGTTAGGACTGACTTGTAAATCTGCTTCTGTGGAATGTGTATGATGTTAGATCCTTAGACATGTAACTTTTAGATGTTTGTTTCTTATATTCAGTATCTGTTTCTTTTCCTGAGTTTCAGAGTCATCAGTGTTTTATTATGACTTTGTAATTATACCATCAGCTCATGGATGCATAATTCCAAATGAGTTAATTTTCATACACCTTAAGCTCTCTTTCCTGCAAAAAAGTAAAGTAAGACAAAATATGGGAATGCCGTGTGTGATTTGAATAATCATATACAACTAGATATACAGGGTGAGCACCGTCACTCTTCATTGGCACTTGTGCTGCCCCTTTCTGTGTGTGTGTGTCTTTGTAGACACACAAGAGTTAGGAATTAAGAACCCAGCAATGCCCCAGACCGACTTTCCCAACAGGTCACAGTTCTCTTAGAGGACACACGAAGGATGTGGTTTCAGTTTGTCTGAAATCTCAGGCCTTTGTTATGTTGATACTAACATCAACCTACAAGTGTAATTAAAAAGAAGTGCTTCTTTCTTACTGGTTCAGGGCCATAGCCCGTGCATTACTTTAGTCTCTCCTAGGGATTGACTGGCGCTAGCTGGGCAACCTTTGTTAGGTTGTGTCTGTTTGCCTTGTCTTCTTTCTTTCTTTCTTGTTTGTTTTTTGCTTGTGTCTTTGTTCCTGTGCAAACTCAGGAGACAGTGGCAGTTGGATGTCTTCTCTTCGTGCATGTCTGACTCAGCAGAGCTGTGATACAAAGATGACAGCTTCCTTTCGATCAGTTTGGCCTCGTTCCCAGTTCTCGTTGCTTTGACCCTGTTTTACAAGGGTGATTCATTAGGGATACTGGGGAAACTGCTCGGCCTGCTCACTGGGATTCAGTACTGCAGAGTTGAGTGGATCTCTTACTTTACTGGGATTTAAATCGGCTTGTGAACGTTACCTGCTCTCAATATGCTTGTCACGTCATTACTTTCAGCTGATGTGTGGTGTGCTGTTAGTATTGTTACTGTCATCTTCTCATTGAGAACATGTCAAGTTACTTTTTTGGTAGTGCTAAGCAAATCTTATTCTCTCATCTAAACCCCTTTGCATGCAGTGGTATGATTGTTAGGTTGGGTGACTGTGTCCACTGCACAGTATACATTGGTAGAGATCATTCAGTGTTCTTTTATATGCTATATAATTTTCCAGAAGAGATTTGGTATTCTTGTGTATGTCTCACATCCTACTGAGTCATAAGAAAAACATGATGGCTACTAAAACCTAAAGCTACTGTAGCTGGTGTAATTCTGTAGATCTTGAGTCTGTATAGAAGGGACAGGCAGAAATAAGCATCAGTAAATAGACTATCATCCACTTAAGCATCCAAAGACAAAGCTCTCTAGGATTTGAAAAGATGTGTGAAGATAGCCAAAACAGTTAACTGAATTAGCAAACTTATCAGTGTCAACTTTCAGTTCTAGAAGAGTCTCGATTGAGAGCAGAAAGTATTTTCTGATATGTAGCCAACAAGTATCTTGGTGAAACAAAATGAATAGCATTTGACGTTCCTTGACTTCTCAGAATCAATATATGTCAGTGAATATCCCTGAGACTATAAAATATGAAGTGCACAATTCATCAATTCCAGTAATGAAATATAATAATCTACAGAAGTATTGAAAACTGAAGGGGCATGTACACTGGAAGGCATCATTGCTATAATCCTGCAGAGTAGAAAATAGTGTTCCTTAATCTTGCCCTGTCTTAAGTGACATTCATGGAGTGGTGGAGAGGACACACTGTTTATTCCTTCTGCTGCATGCTTCTCTCACCTCTGCCCACTTCACCCCTGCCCTCTTCATCACTACCCCATCTCACCAGTGGATAAGGAAATGTGCATTTAGATTACATGCCTGAAGTATCGAGGGTGGGGCTGGTGCCCTCCTCAGTAGAATGAAGCCTTAAAGCTGACAGACTCTGCTGTGGGAAGATAAAACATTAAGATGGAGGACACGACACAAGTATCATCTATGTTGCGTCTGACAGGGCATGAGACAACGCCATTAACTCCACTAATTAACACAAGCCAAAGAAAGTCACGGTTGGAGTGTATTAAGAAGGAAACATGCTATAAAACCAAGAGTGTAAATCTGAGGCTATTTGTAGAATCTCCCAAAACTGAGGTAGACATGGCTTGAGACCACCATTAGTGCTGGTCTTGGGTAGAGAAGAGGCAATTTGACAGACTTAGTCAGTGATGATAATGGGGAATGACCAGTCCTGTAATAGAGGCTTAGAAATGAGGGTGTGCCATGACGGCGCCAGTCTGTGGATGTGATGCACAGTGTGACTTAATGCCCCTGCAGTAGTTTAAAGCAAACCTAAGACTTGAGAATAAACGCTAGTCTGTGCACTTCAGGACACAGCAGAACCTGTGCTCGGACATGAAGATCAAGAGCACAGGAAAGCCAGCGCTGAAACTAAATATTATGAAAGCTGGTGAGTAAATATTTCAAAGAATCAAGATTATTTTTGGGAGAGCTCTTTATGAGGCAAGATACAGTATATAATTCCTATATGTCATGATACAGGAATTCTAAACATATGGCTAAAAATAGTTACTGTCAGGCATCTGGAGCAGAGCTGTGAAGGGTTTCAAGTAGGACCTGTGGAACACCATTTCTGATGGGGCCATGTGCTCTGAGGCTAGTTCCCAGCAATCTTGGGGCCGAGTCCTTAGAGGGACCAGAGAGTTCGGCCTCTGGAGGATGAAGATGCCTGTCCTCTGAAGCCTCCTCACGCCTATGTGCTTTATTTTCCTGACTGATGTAGTTGATAAGATGGAGCACAAACCATTCTTACGGTTGTTTTTTCTCTGAAGAGTGTCTTCCTCTTAGCTCAGGTGGTAGTCTTCAGCCAGGCAAGTTGCTCTGAGTATTACATGAGGGTAGATATAGTTCTCCAAAAATGTGAGAGGATCCAAATATTACTCGGGCGGTTTTGAACCAGAGTAGATTTGGGAGCTGATTGCTCACCTCATACTCTGAAGAGAAGCTTAATTTTCTAAATTGGCACATAGAAGTATTTGTTGATAATATTTTTGTACGGGCATTTTTTGGGGGAGGGGGTAAATGTCAAACCTTCTGTTTCCCCAAGTTTTACTCTAAAACTGTTAAGTCTATAAAATTTTAAACAATGTCATAGTATCCTCACCACCTGGGCCTTAGTTACACTTGCTTTGTCATGTGTCCATCCGTCTGTCCAGCCATCCAGATTAATTTTTGAGGCATCTAAAATTGCAAACCTCTATATGCTTCCAGCTAAATACTTCAGCATACCCCTCACTAGCAAGGGTTCCAGACTTGCTTATAGCTTTCTTTTGGTATAAAATTTACATGCACAGAACATTCACATGCACTGTATTTTCATAAATCCATGGAGTACTATATAGAGGAAAACCTGCCATTCTAGAAAGCTGTCAAATGGCCCTTTTCATCAATCACTGACCCCCACATGACAAGCACTGCTCTTTTTCCTACTATAAGTTAGACTGTTCTGTTTTAGAACTTATCGTTATTAGCTTCAGACATCAATCACTCTCTTTGACAAGGCTTCTTCACTACCGTTATATTTGGGAGATTTTTCCGTGGGGTTGGTATATTACTAATTCACCCCTATTTTATTGCCGAGTATTGTGTCCCCATTTATATTACCACTTGTTTTTCTTATTGGCTAACTGGGCTGTGTGCAGGAGCAGCAATTATGAACAAAGCTGTAGTGATCATTCTTATGTACATCTGTGTGAATATAGTCATTTGTCTGCTCATGGGTAAATACTTAAAATTGCTGGCTCATAGGGGTGTTTTTTTTTTGTTTTTTTTTTTTTTTTTTTTTTTTTGGTTTTTCGAGACAGGGTTTCTCTGTGTAGCTTTGCGCCTTTCCTGGATCTCGCGCTGTAGACCAGGCTGGCCTCGAACTCACAGAGATCCACCTGGCTCTGCCTCCCGAGTGCTGGGATTAAAGGCGAGCGCCACCACCGCCCGGCCTCATAGGGGTGTTTTTAAAAAGAAACTACCATTCTTTTTCCCAATATGATTGTTCTGTACTCTGATTTTTATATTTGGAGTGTGTAAAAAGGTGTAAACTATTTTTCTGATTCCCATATTTAAATAGTAAGAGAAGTTGGGGTAGAAATGATAGCACTCACGTTTGAATGTGGTAGTTGGCATTTGAGGGAAGTAAAGAAGCCTGTCTGCCACAAAACAGCTCCCCAAGAGGTTCCTAAGATGTGAAATCTTAGAATTAGCTCCACTCTGTGAAAGGTTACACTCTAAGCATGCTAGTTTGGTAGCTAGAAGAAATGGCACTAGCTCAGTCATGTGACATTTCCCACCCACTTTCAGTAAGGGAAGTAAGAGCACCTTGTGAGGGAAGTGAGTGGATCAGGAGAAAGCAGAAAGATATACAAGAGTCAGTTCCTGGTGCCACAGCTTGAAAAAGACAACTGTATGCGGAAGTGCCCAGTGGTTGTCAGGAAAGCAGAAAAGAGGACAGCAAGAACTCTACCTCACAGTTTTACACAGCGGGTTGGTATGGTTTTGTAGACTTTTAACCTTTGAAGGGCATAATTTCCATCTTTTCAGCCCAGCTTTCTTTGTTTCATACTTGGGTGACTTTTTTCTACTGTGTACTGTCCTTCTCTTCTGTTCCATTACACAGAGTATTCGCCTGTGAAGTTATGCTCATACATATGTTTCCAGTACCCATGTTCAAATATACCAGTGTGTGATTTATCTAACCTTTCCTATAGGATTTTTAAGGGCTGGGAAATTTGGCTTCTATTGTATATCCTTATAATGTGCCCAAATTGTAAATATGCAATAAAAACCATAAAAATACAATGACAGCAGATTTTGATATGTATTTCTTTGCTATATTGTTATTGGACAAGTTTGATTTCTGTAAATAAAGGTTGTTCATAAAATCTAGGAAGAATTTAGTCATTACTGGTCTCTATAATGTAATCTGATGAGTTTTACATCTTTAACCCTATTTTAATTATTTCTTTAAATTTTTGAACAATATTTTCTAAAAATTTTTTATTTAAACAAAAGAAAAGGTAGATTGTTTGTTCTGGAATAATTTGAAATGCTAGAAAATAGGGGTTTCTCTCTACTTTAACAACCCAGCCACCTTTCCTGGGTGGCTTAGAGATGAAGCTCTCTTGCCCCCTACTGCATTACCAGGGTAGGTGTGTCATCAGAGGTAGATAGTGCTTATGTTTCTTCTCTTCCCACATGATTGGTGTGTGTGTGTGTGTGTGTGTGTGTGTGTGTGTGTGTGTGTGTGTGCGTGTGTCTGGAGATTGAGCCCAGGGCTTGGTGTGTTCTAGGCAACTACTATGACACTGATCTCCAGCCACAGAAATCAACTTTTTTATCCACCAAAATCATGTTTTTCTGTAAATAATTGCAGCTCCAGAATTGCTGCCATGAATTATTGATTTCAAAAATTTGGAAATTTGCCAATGAAGTACCTTTGAATTATAGTTCAAGATGTAAGCAAAATACAGCATACAGAGAATTTATATTAATAGTTATTTTCATCTTAAGTTAATTACAGTGTCCAAATCTCTAGATTTTTCTATTGAAGACTTGATATATCCATAAAGTTGTTTCAAACCCCTGAATGTTAAGAGCTCTTGCCTGTGGTCTATGTCCACAATAAAGAGAGCAAATGTGTGTAGCTCAATATCAACCTTTGATATTTGTCTGCCTTATCTTCAGAGTAGTCTTAGATCTACCAGCTCTACCCGTTATACACACACACAAACAGTTGCACACATGGATGTATTAGTTACTTTTTTCTGTTGCAGTGATAAGACACCATGACCAATGCAACTTAATGGAAGAAAGAGTTTATTTTACAGTTTCAGGAGATTAGAGTTCACAATGGCAGAGGCCCGGGAGACCAAGCATCAGCTGAGGGCTGACATCTTTAACTGTAAGGGGAGACAGGCAGCACACTGGAAATGGTACCAGTACAGAAACTAAAAACTTTCCATAGCCCATCAATTCAAGGAACATTCAGTTAACATTCTGTGCATTTATTTCCTTTGTGTTTTGCATAACACATGTACATAACAGATATGTATATAACACATATATACCACCACCCAGCTTCACCCCTGCCTTTTCACTATGATTATCTTCACACCTCACATTTCCCTTTGTGAACATTTTTTTCCCCTGTGCAAGCCAATACTAACATTTGATAATGCGTAGGAACCACTATTTATGAAACTTGGTTTTATTCCCATTCCTTTTTAGCAGTGTTCTAAGCTATGCCACAGTGAACAATGGACATTACTTACCATTACAGCGTATAACTGGACATTTCTTGTTCTGACCTACTGGTCCCAAATAACTGACTCAGAGGCTGAATATGAATTGTAAATGCTCAGCCGATAGCACAGGCTTGTTACTAGCTAACTCTTACACTTAAATTAACCCATATTTCTATTAATCTATGTATTGCCACGTGACTTGTAGCTTTATCTGTCCTCTAGCATGTCTTGCTTCCTGGGCAGCTCACTGGCATCCCCTCTGACTCCACCCTCCTTCCCGTCATTCTCAGTTTGGCTTTCCCACCTAACTTCATCCCCAGCTACTGGCCTGTCAGCTCTTTATTAACCAATGAGAGTGATACATATTCATAGTGTAGAAAAGGATTGTTCCATAGCAACAGCATCTAATTTTAAGGGTTCTGAAGGTAGAAACACTGACTCAGAATTGTCTATATTCTTAGGCATGTGGCATGCCAGATTGCTCTCAAGCAGGTTGGGCAAGTTCATGCTCCCTTCAACAACATGGCTTTTTTTTTTTTCCTTCAGCACAGAGGATTGTTTCTTTTAAGCCTTTGCAAATCTTAGAGAACAGTTGAGTTCACATTTTTAACTGAAAATAGTGTAATGATTAGCAGTAGCCACTATGGTTCCCCATTGGTGATTTAACTACCCTTTTTCTATACTTCTCCTTTGGAGCCCTAGCATTTTTATTTGTTTGAAAAATCTTTTTTATAAAAGTAATAATTTATATTTGTAGCATGCATTTTCCCCAATTTGTTTAGTCTGTGAAGGGACACTAGCCCACTTGAACATATGGCTCTGGCCAGCCTTGCCCTTCTTCCCCATTCCTTCTGCCTTGCTAAAAAAAAAAAAAAAAAAGTTAGATTACATGTCTAAAGCTAGCCACCAAGGTCTCTTTCCTTATTTGGCCACTTCTTCCACCTGAGACTGACTACCGAAGTCCAACAATCAGAAGCCCCTTTTGGCTCAGCAAATTAAAATTAACCCAATTAAAATTAAAATTAGAGGCCGGGAGGTGGTGGCGCACGCCTTTAATCCCAGCACTCGGGAGGCAGGCAGAGGCAGGTGGATCTCTGTGAGTTCGAGGCCAGCCTGGTCTCCAAAGCGAGTACCAGGAAAGGCGCAAAGCTACACAGAGAAACACTGTCTTGAAAAAACCAAAAAAAAAAAAAAAAAAAAAAAAAAAAAATTAAAATTAGCCCAATTAAATTAACCACCTCACCCTAACAAATTTCTTCCTTTACCTTTATAAGCCACCATTTGCCTGTGTACTACGCCTATCTCCTCTCCATCCAAAGGCAGTTCTTTGTCCCTCTGGGATAAATACTCCTGCCCCCTCCCCCGCGTTCCCTTCCCCTTCTCCCTCATCCCCTGTCTCCTTTACCACTGCATCCCAGCCCATCCTAACACAGGCCTTCCCTTCTGAAAATGACACCTGCAACATTTGCTGCTGTTTTCTGCCCGAGCCAGAAAGCAGCCACTTTAACTTTTCTTTCCAGCTTAGTGGAGAATCTCTCTGTGAAAACAGGTGTTTGGGTGTGGTTTGTGCCTAATCTGGGGTCTGGGAGGAAGCCCCACTGTTCCGGGGTCTCCTTCAGTATGTCTTTGTGAAGTTTCGTGACAGCATTCACATGTCTTGGGACCTCTGTTCACAAACTGCCTTGGATTTTTTGTGTGGCTTTGATGCTTGGAAAATCCTTGAGCCTGAGTTTTGTTCCTCTTGTACAGTTTCCACTTCTCCATCTCTTACTGCCACAAGCATTTCTGGTAGATTGTATGAGGTGGTGATAGATGATGGATTTTTGTTTCCCAAACACCGTATGCTCCGAACATCACATAGTGAATAGTTTATCCCTCCCATTAATTGCTGGCAGTCTCTTGAAATGCTGTCGATTTTGTAAGTCCCGTGGTTTACATCTACACCGGCTATTCCATCTGTTGATCACTTTGTTACCCCTGTTCCCTTACCACATGGCTTTCCAGTAAGCGTTAAAAGCCAACAATGAAAAGGTAAGGTTTTGTTTGTTTGCTTGCTTGCTTGCTTGCTTGGTTTTGTTTCTGTTTTTAGTTTTTGGTAGCATTGCACAGAAGTAGTACTTTATTTCTGGAAAAAAAAAACTGTTCTTGTTTTGGATGTATAAACAAAGAAGGAAATATAGGTGAATACAGATGCTGGCCAATCTGTGGGAATGGAGAATTATGTGCTTAGATCCAGCTAAGAGAAAGGAGGGGAGGGAAAAGCAGTGGGTGGTGAGTGGATTACCCACAGTTCACAGCACACACAGAGATCTGGAGAAGGCTACAGGACGCACAGGCAAAGGGACCCGCTAAAGCTGGAAGGGAAAAGGAAATGCAGAGATAACTGAATCGTCTGAGAAGGTGATAATGACAGCTAATCCCACAGTATATTTTCAGGTGTGTAGCACATTTGCTTGTAGAAGGCGAAGCACATGGGAATCAAAACCCACGGAATCAACAATGCACAGAAAGAAAATAATAC